GCACATCCCAGTGATGGGAAATCCCTCCGACTTCCCCTGTCTGTATTTTTAGTTTAATGGCTTTTATTTATGTGCGTGTCAGTTAAACAAGGAGGCATGGATTGCTCTTGTCCTGTTTACTTTGAAAGGTACAAATTGTAAAGTGTGCAAATATACAAGGTAAATATTTTGTCTGTGTTTAATCTCATTAGGCGGTTCAGGGTGTATCCCCGCCTCTTGTCCAATGACAGCTGGGATCGACCCTGAATGGGAAAAGCGGTATAGATAATGGATAGATTGATCTATCTCTCTTCTACCTTTCCTGTAACATGATCTCTCTGTTCTTGATCAGTGTCTTTTTGTAGCCTCTTCTATGTCCTCTCCATCTTTTACTTCACTGTGATCTGGCTTCTTTTATGTATAGAGCATCCAATGCTCATGTTGGTGGTGGACTCCAAGGATCTAAGGAGGGAGTGTGAGGCTTTGTCTGCTCTGAGGTTGTCAAAATAAGCTTTTCACATCTAAAATCATGACGATACAACAGCCTTTTGGTAAAAACAAGTGTGTGTAGGCCTATTCTGTCTCTAAATTTGTGTTAATTTTGACAGCATTGCATTTTTTTTTTTTTAGATACAAGGGTGCTCCATGGAAGTTAAATCAGGAACCAGTGATTTAGAGAGTGGCAACATTGCTGCTTTTCTTCCTTGGTTCTGCACAAAGCCCTGGTTTTCTATAAACCAAACCTCAAATACCATAAAATCGCAGAAAGGAGGAAAACACTGGCAAATATAGATCTGTGGAATTTAACCACTGACAGTGGCATTTACACAGGAAGCCAAATCTTCTACAGCCAAAACTTTAATGGGTAATTACAACAAGGCTGCTTTTATGGGACTAAGTTACAAGGTAACTGTGTTAGAGGCGGTAACTGAGGCAGCTTGAAAAGTGTTCTCTTCTCCTGAAGGATGTGCTGTTTTTTCTGTATTCCCATGCTATCACACCCTCGATGTTGTTGTGAACAAAATGTCGTAAACTCTTCCATTGCCTTGATGACATTTGACTGTTTTCGCCTCTCCTCCCACTCCTCCCACTCCTCCCTACTCCCTCTACTGCTGCTGCCCTGCCCAGAGCCAGAAGGTCAAGTTCACTGTCACTTTTTCCCTCCTGAAGGACTTTCAGTTGTCGTCCCACTAGGACTATGATGCTATGTGAAAGTGAGGAGAAACAGATCACCGTTCAGGGTGTATCATCTGACATACAAGAACTGTGTTTGATTTAAATGTCTGTAAATTTCAGCCAAACATCAACGCAAGCACCAGCTTCTTACGTCTGTTGAGCGTGGTCTGTCATTGCACAACTCATGAAATGCTTAACATGACAAAATACATATCAAGAAAAATGTTCAAATGCATGCACTTGCTCATGCAGAGAAAACTCAAACTTCTCTGTACACATGCACTTTCAGCTATTTTACTGCTTTCTCACACAGCAGCGCCAAGTTGTTCCAGGTGGGGGTATACTGTATGTAACGAACTGATTTACAGCTGGCCCGACTGTAAAGACAAGCGCAGGAGGAGAACTCCCATCTGTATTGATATCCCAAAACAGCGCTGTGTCCACGATGACCGTGAGCTCCGGGGGCCACAAAAAAAATGTGCATGTGAGGACTCGTTTAGCACTGGATGGGAGGTACACAAAAACCGCAGAGAAATTAATGTTGCATGTCCGCTGTGCAGTAGCAGCAGGGTGTAAATGGATCAAGATGCAGCTGGGAACTTCACTCTGCAGAGATTTGGAGTGCAATTTTAGCAACAGATCGTAAAATTTAAATGTTCAGAAGCCAGACATATCCTCTAATCGTCATTTCTGTAAGGATTATTATTGCCATCATGTGTGAAATGAGCAAACAGGTGACTCACAAGGATAACTACACATGCTTGTGCCAGTTATATATTTACATTTGTAGTTTTCCATATAGATGACGGCAGAGAAATATAGGTCAGACAGTGCTGTCATAATGCTTGCAAATCCCTACAGTGCAGCCCCTTCAGTGTTTAGTCACTAGGTGTGTGTATAAGGAAGGGTGTGTTTATTGTCAATGTCTGACGGGAACAATAAAAGTATTTGGATAAGAAGAATCCAGACCTTTGAATTCCTGCGTCCGCTCACATCCATTCATTCCCTCCTACGCCCTTTGTCTCCTTTTTTGTTTGTCTCGACAACAAACACTTTTCTTCTTCTCCTTCTGCTAAACTGTCGACTCGCTTCACTTTCTGTGGGCAAAACTCGCTTTATTTTGAAAGGGCCGAGTGGTTGACCTCAGAAAGACGCCAACATGCAAAGCTTCTCCACTCTGGGAACACATGTGCTCTGTGCAGTTTAAAAGATGAACTCCCTGTGGTTTGAGCGCTGCAAGTACTTGTGGTTTCTTCTCGGTGAACCAGCGTTTCCTACATCTCGTGGATAGCTGGAATTCTTGGATGTCTTCATCATGACAAATCCTTAGAAAACAAGTAATGTCTATATGTAAATAATACTCAGACTGTCTGAAGACTGACTCAAGGTGTACATAAAATATCATGAACCATAAATGTATTGATTTATGCTTTTATGGAGGGATGAAGCTCTAAAGGCCCTGACACACCAAGGCGATCGCCTGCCTTTTTTCGGCCAATTCAACATGTTGAATCGATGTCTGTGCGTCGGTGAGAGGAATCTCTATGATTGGCTGTTCGGAGGTTTCATTTATCTCCAGCTCTCGACACAGGTTCAGAAAAGCCCCTTGAGCATGCCACTGTAGTATCCATGCTTTCACCCATTAGTGCAGTTTCTCCTTATTTGTCTCTTCTTTTCTTTTTCCACTAAAAAACCAAAGGATGACAACGCCAATGCCATTTTCAACTTTTTATCAGACATTATTCTCCATTAGTAGGCTACCTATAACACAAGTGGTGACCGACAGCGGTGTGAAAATGGTCTTCTCATATCATAACAACAGACTACCACCCCCTGCTGGCATGGAGAGTTATTTCCTCTCATGCATGTGCAGAACGTACGTAGTGGTTGGCCGTCGGTTGTAGTCTTCGTGGTGTGTTCAAGTGCAACTTTTTGGCCAAGTTTGGATAAAAGTTAAATGAATTGTAGAAAACAACCGGTTTCTAAAGGACTTTTAGAACATAAAATTACATAAACAGCATGAAATTCTCTCTTTTTTTACTTTATGGAAACTTGAGGAATTTCTTTCGGACCAAAAAGGAAAAAACTTGAATTTGAGATTGAATATCCTAAAAAGAACCATTTCTCCTTCTAATTCCTGTACTGTAGGATTAGATTAAAGCTCCTGTGAGGAACTTTCAAATTGTGCTGACTTTGGTGCCCCCTTTGGCCAAAGTAGATCATGTCATGTATATGTGTTAGTCGTTTTTAAAAAACCTGCTCTATTTTAAGACTCAAGCATATCACAAAATGTGATTATTAGCTGTGGAATATGTAAGAATAAATAAGGACTGTTTCTTCGGCGTGTGTTAATCATCTTGTCTGACACCCCGCGGCAGCAGTTACAGACTTTAATAATACCTAAATAAAAACAGTCAGTCTTCTTTGGGATCATGATGGAGTCTGAAAGTTATTGGATCCCTTGACTTGGGATTCACCAATAAGTATTTGTTATATCCCCACATATATCAACTATTTTTAAAGACTAAGATGTAAAGTGACTTTCTCCATTTATATCCCTGCTAATAAGGTAACATGAAGACTTAAATCTAATTGTGGCTTAGATCCAGAGTGTTGACGCCTGGATGAACACATTTAATATACTGAGTTACTGGGGAGACTGTAGAGAGCAGGGAGGAGTGAGGTACTCAAGAGACTCAGAGGTGTCAAGCTGAGCTGAAGAAGCCAGAGGGAAGCTCATCAAACTTTACCTTCAAAATAAAAGCACATTTTATCAGCCCTTTTAGTGGTTGCTTACTCTGATTGCTATGTAGATATTATTCTTTTATAAGAACAACTCGGCATCATTGTTGATATGACTCATGAAAGTATTTTTTGCCAGGGCTTATTCATTATATTTTGTCTACAAAACTGTTTATTATAAAAGTTTATGCAACCAGAATTTCAGCCTGTTTTCATCTATTGAACACAGTTGTTTACTTACTGTTCTATATTTCATAGGTCAAGTTTTTTGTTCTACTTCAGTTTATCTGATAGCTAAAGTAAAGGTACCCTGTTCATTTGTCTTTGCACATGCACCTGCACACTGATAACATGATTTAGCATACACTGCAGTAGTGACAGTCAAGACCTAATGCATCACCAAAGGAAGATGTATAACCCCCAAAAAATATCAAGGTTTCAAATTTTAGAACACAATAATCTGTTTTACAGTGATTAATAAGGATATGCATTTCAACAAAGTTGTCAGGCCTATGGGTCGTGAAAACTTGCAGGGGTGAGGGGTGTAAATGAATGAAAAATATTAAAATATGTGCTTTCAAGTCGCTCTAGCTCATCAGACTAAAGCTAAGAGTCACACTGCTATTTCAGAAAGTTGCTGTACTACTGAAAACTACCTACCAACTCCTCTTAAAAAAAAGAAGTAGGCCTCAATATATATTAAAAAAAAGAATAACATGGTTATTGTGTCTAATTGTTAATAAATAATAATTAAAAAAAGACATTTATTAAGAAGTTGCATGTGCAATTTTGATATTGTAATGTAGACATTTATGACATTTTGCAAGAGGGGGGTCACCACCTGAGTCTAATGCTATATGGGAATCCTTGGCATTGCAGAAGTTTGGGAACCCCTGGGCTTATAGGCTACAATTGAGAAAATAATGGGTGTCTTTAAATATTGTGAAGCCTAAATGTTTTTTCTTTACGTTGGATTATCAAAATGTTTTACTGCCTGTGGCTAACGCTCAGATGTTTAAAAGAAAATATTTACACAAGAGTTTTACTTTGAATGTTCCTGCCGGAAGCTATTTTCACACCTCGCTTGCTTCATGCTCTGAGCTCGAGTGAGGCGCATTTCCACAGACTGGGAGCGTCGGGACTTTGCGCACACGGACTGAACTTTTGAGTCTGAACTTCCAGCGGCTGGTTGATCATGCTCAGCGAAGAAGAAAGAGGAGAAGTGAAATAAAAGAGCCGGACCGGATGTGACTCATTGTAATATTCTTCCTTTGAATATGATTTACTGACAGGGAGCGCGCTCCTCCGAGCTGTGTGTGGGATTTATGGTTGACCCAAGAACCTTAAACATTCGCGCTGTAGTCTTTGCTTCGGTTGAACTGATAGCCTAACTCTTAAACTTTGTGATGGAGAGCCACATGTCGGTGTTATGGATGCTGCTGTGTCTGCTCCTGCGGCCATCCTCGACACAGAACCCCGCACCTGAAGGAGGTAAGCACCCTCAGATGGACCTGACTGCTGCGCAATACAATTTTAATGAGTGTCTAAAACTCTGCTGCATTTGGAGATCGTGAGTGAAATATTAAAACTCAATAAATGTAATTATCTAGATCATTTTTAGGACAAATATTCACTGTAAAAACACTATTGTGGTAATTTAAGAACTGCCCACAATGACAAACATGTTCTCAGACTGACCACAACTTTGTCCCCATGCAATCTAACTTCATAGTAAATGCAATTTTGTCTATTAGATGCAGTGACTCTACCATTAGAATCAGATGCTGCTGCAGGAGGCGCAGGGCCTGTCTGTCTGCCTGCCTGTCTGTCTTCAGGGTGGATCAGGGTGGGGTTGATTTTACACCAGTGTTCTCAGTGAAATGGCACGAGTCCAAGTATTGATGTGCGACTTGATGAAATCCCAAAGCCTGGGGCAGTGGTTCCAAAAACTGGGGCATAATAACCAGGGACCACCCATGACATGCTTTGGAAAACTTCAGGTGCTCTCATGACAGTAAAAGGAAAGGTGGAATTCCTATGTTATTATTTAGTGATGAAACCTCTTAGCCGTGGTTTCCATGCAGGGGAAGAAAAGAGCAGCCATCAGAGCACCTGAAGAGTACCGTAATTTGATTTTTACAACAAATGATTCATTGTTGTAGCTTTAATACAAGAAGCAAAGAAATCAAGACTGACACGTCTGATCTATGGTTTTATTATTCCAAATCTACTCTAAATTAGGCTAACCCTAACCCTAACCCTATTAGGAAGTATGGTAATAAGTTTTATGTGTCATTAAATGAAATCTTATAATATGGTAACTAAGATTAAGATCAAAGTCGTGAAGGGGTTTCTCTTTTAGATCTCAGCAGATTTATGAGTCCGACATAGAGTTCCCAAAATAGAGTTTAAAACCCACAAATTGCCAACATAAATTTCAATATCTGAAATTTTTAAGATACAAATTTGACCAAAAACAGAAAAACAAATGACTCCGGTGAGGTTTTTTGGGGGGTTTGTGACAATCTTGGTGCTCCTGTGGACAAAGCTGTTTACATCTTTTCTCTTTGCTGCATGTCTTGAACCAGGCCTCCCTTGGAAAAGAGGTTAAACAAAGATTAAATAAAATAAACAAAAATCTCATTCTGTACATGCCTCAGGAGTGTTTTCTGCCAAAAAATATCTCATCCTTCAGTCAGTCAGACGTATCATGGACGATGAATATTTGCTCTGGAAAAAGACCGTTTCAGGCACATACTGTAAATCTTCTCTTCTGACAACGACCAGCATCAGGCTTTAATAATTATTACGTAGAAATAGTCAACCTTTACGCTGTGTGTTTTTGTTTTGTTTTTTAATAGAAGTGTCAGTCTGTTTCATAACGTGCTAAAAACTCCTCACAGCAGCTTTAAACCACAGTGAGTGTGCCGAGCTGTGATACTCCTCTACATGTGCTGCAGACAGTGCTGAGAGTAAATAATGAAGTCTGGGCTTCAACTGCAGGACAGACTGCTGTGAGCACATCTTTTCTAAATCACCTCAAGTATTGTTTTCTGCGTTATATTGTTTAGCAAGAAAACGTTTCCATATATAGGGAGGCACATATTCAAAAATGCATGCACCATTATCAACATATTTGTGAAGGGCACGTAAGCTGAATCGCTGCAGTACGTTCTCTAAACCACTAAGACATCCCTCAGTGACTCTATCTGTTTGTTTTTTCAAACGTCTAAAGTCATTGATTGTAATCGGTTGTTATCAAAGCCATGCCAACACGCCTTGCATTCAAGCTCAAGACCATGAAGTGTCAGACGGGCTAAACTGGGCGGTGGTGACACCAACCAGTCTGTTTGTGCGAGCAGATCTTTATGACGCTGTTCACAGAGCAGTGAGTGACATGCTGTAATTTTGCTGTTTCCATTAATAGGGACCCAAGAGACTGACCCAACTTAGCTTACAGTAATTGGGCTTTTTATAAGTGCTCATGCTGTTATGCATGTGCACATATTATGTGTCGTCCATTTATAATGGCAGGCTTATACCACCCCTCACAACAAACCTTTACAGAAGAATAAGAAGGTGCATGGTTTGTTGTCATTTTGAGTTATTTAAAGGTAATAACAGATTAGAAAATATAGATTTTAGAGGAATGACTTCATATTCTTTGCCACTGGATGGCTGGAAGTGGGGTGATCCTCATCCTGTCGGCAGATTTTTGAGATGTTTGAAGCTTGATCTAAAGGTAAGTCTTCAACCAGTCCAGTTCCCTTTGGATCAAGTTCACCATGACCTGGATGACTGAGAACCTACAGACTTCTTTTTAAGCTGGAAATAAAATGCCTGAAATTCCAATTCCTCTGATGTTCTGCAGCCTTACCCTGAAGCTCGTATTTTGTGGTCCTCACTTTCAAACTACATTTTTGCACACATTGTTTAAACTTTATTGCTGCATGTGTGTCAGTGAAATGCACTCATGTGTCAGTCAGACTGGAAGACCTGCTCTGCCCCTGTAGTGTTTTACTGGGGCGACGTGAGGTTTTTCTACGCTTCATTTTTCCACCATAACATCACTGCAGAGCTAATAGTCCACATGATAAATCTTATTTATTGTTCATTCGATAAGCCCCAGGCTGCATTTAGAACACGTCTTGTTTCTAGATAAACACTGCAGAGGCTATCTCCAGACGTCAACATGTGCTTTGTAGATAAGGACTTACCTGCACAAAGGTAGCAGTAGGGGGGCTTTGATATGGAGCAGCCCCCTCGCTCCAGAGTGAAATAACAATAGACATGAAAGGAATTCTTTAGACTGATGATGAATGCATGTGTGTGTGTGTGTGTGTACATGTTTGAAGTATGTGTGTATGCAATAAGGTTGTCAGAACTGTCTTTACTTACAAGAGAGCACTGTCTAAATTGCAAAAAACATTGGAAGCGTTTTGTTAACGAAACTTGGCCAATGTCTTTGTGCAATTTAGACAGTGCGCATGAGTTTGTGTGCAATTTTCGGTAATTAAAAACAATAAATATTCCAGTGTTGGGAGCTTAGGACTTGCTTTTTTTGGCCGTGGTATCAACACATGTTTCAGTATCGTTTCATGTTAAAGTTATATTTTTTGGGCCTTTTTGTCTTTATTGGGAAGGACAAATGAAGAGAGACAGGAAACACTGGAAGAGAGAATGGGAGATGACATGCAGCAAAGGGCCGAGGTCAGATTCGAACCCGCGGCCACTGTGGTGAGGACTGCAGCCAGCCTCCATGCATGGGGTGCATGACAAAACCGTCAGGCCATCGGGCGCGCTTATGGTTTGATTCTTAGTAGTATCATATTGAAGTATCTTGTATTGTGACAACTCTAATATGCATGCTTAGCTGCTATCTTAGCTGTCAGAGCTTTGGTTCTTAACAACACCTTAAGTATTCAAAAATAGCATCCGAGGAGGATCAAATTGTGTCAAGGTTTAGCACTTAGTGCCTATAAATGCAGCATTACTGAATCAGAGTAATCAAGAGGCAAACTAATCTTCATTGCAGGCTCTAGCCGTCTCTCACAGGTTTATTTTTCTTCCTTCTAAAACTGTTCCTCTCGGATTTTAACAGCGTGTGCTTTGTTTATGCACTGACCGCAGTCTGAAGATTTGCATCTAAATACTGCTTTTAGATCCTGTCTGTGTTGCTGCTTCTTCTCTCTTTCCCACTCTCTGTCTGCTCTGACTATGGCCATCCAACATTCCTCTTCGTCTCTGACTTGGAACTGCCAGCGAACCCCCCCCCCCCGTTCTCTTTCACTCTCCTTTAAACGCATTTTATTTCCCCCTGTCCCACCTCCTTTCTCCGCTCCTTCTCCCTCTCCTTCCCCTCGTTATTGCCCAGCAGCTACTGTTTCCCCTCCCTTTCTTCTCTCGTCCCCCCATGGCATTCACTTTTAACTTTGCTTCTGTTACGAAATGAGGACATTTCTGGGGGTGAAACGTCAGCTTCCCGGCTCAGTGCTCAAAGGTCTTTCATCCATTATCGCCCACAGTTATCATAATGTCAACATCTATCTGTAATTCAGTTTGTGCTTTCATTTCTTCTTATCTGCACTGTTATTAGGCTACTTGCTTCTAAATTGCTACTTAATCTTTGCTGCTTTCATGTTGATAATATCTTATGTTGAAGCTTAACGACTTTGTTGTAGGTCAATTGAGGTAAAGTGTACCACAGTACTGAAATGTGTTATCAGGTATCAAAAGGGTCAATCAGCCAGTGCACCGATCCAATAACAAAAAGTACTGACCTTCATTTCTTCTGCACAACAGCAGCATACTTATCAAAAAGAATGAATATAGCTCAGTCGAGCAGCCACTGTTTCAGAGCCACAAATGGAAATCAGTGTGGTGCTAACGTGTTAGCTAGAGCTAGCAAAATGTTAGCAGTCAGCAGTATCCAATCACAAGATTAGGAATGGTGTAAACAAAAAATCTAATTGTATAAACAATCTTGTTTTCCCCGCGATAATCAGTGCTGGCAACACTGTCTTAAGTGCCTCAACAAACACCATACAGAATGCTGCTAGCGGAGAGGGATAAGTTAAAAAGTAAAGAATTCAGTATTTTCTAATCACACACACGTTATTTTTTCAATTAAACTCATTTTTTTTTACACTGTAAACAAAATAAAGCAGTCTCATTTAAAAAAAAAAAAGCTTTTTTCCATCACTCTTTGGTCGACACAGGATGTTCAGAGAGGCTACAACCAAGGAACAGATAAAGTTAGCTTAGCTTGCTTTTAGCTAGGGTTCTTTCAGTTTTCTGTGCCAAGCCATACAACAACGATAGCCACGTCATGATACCGGAATTTAAAACTTTAATAAGACACGAGGAAAAAATGTTAATGCTATTAATGCCTAAGAGGTCATATGCACCCAGTTTTCGGTCATTTATGGTTTTAATTACCAAACTCCTGCACACTGTCTAGGTTGCACAAATACATTGGAATTTGCCGACCGGTACATTTTAATGAACCACTGCTGCTCTCCCTCTTTTGCTTGCAGCAGCTTTTAGTTAATATATGACTGGAGATCTGTAGGTATTTTTAAAGCTTCAGTACTTTCTGATACTATCCATCATTGAAATAACAGAGGTTGTGTTGTTTGAAAAGCTGTGGCATCAAAATGATCAAAGTAACGTCAGATGAGAGTTTACTTTTATTGGTTAAATAATGATTCTGCTGTCTTTACCACAGTGCTGAACTGCTGCGAGGGTGACGTCCTCTTCCTACTGGATTCTTCGGGCAGTGTGTCTTCCTACGAGCACTCCCGCATGCTCGCCTTCCTGTCTGAGCTCCTCCTCCCGTTCTCTCTGGGGGAGGACCAGGTGAGGGTGGGACTGCTGCAGGTGGGCACCAAACCACGCCTTGAGTTTGGCTTTGACTCCCATACCACCCAGAGCGGCCTCCAGGGGGCTTTGAAGAACACCAAACCTCTGAGGGGGGACACCAACACAGTGGAGGCGCTGAGGATAGCGAAGGACAGGGTGCTAAGACCCGGAGCGGCAGACGGGGCCAGGGCAGGGCTCCCGAGGGTGCTGGTGTGGTTGACAGACGGGGTAAAACCGGGTGATGTGGTTGGACCAATGGCGGAGCTGAGAGACCAGGGTGTGGCTGTGCTGGTGGTCTCCACTGGGCATGGCAACTATCTAGTGTTGAGGGAAGTGGTGACCCCGCCTGTGGAGGAACATCTGCACTTTGTGGACATCGATGATTTGAGTATCATCACAGAGGACCTGCGGAACGCCATCATCGGTGAGTCTGGGAACCAATGAGTGAAACGGTGATAATTGAGTTAAAAGTACCATTAAAAGTTAATGGTATGGAGGCCAATAGTATGGAGATCAGTTTTTACTTTTTACGACTTCAGGGGCTCCATACATTAGATTTATGTATACATATATTTCTAATTCTAATTCATAGTTATTCATCTTTATTAATTAACTACTCTTTACATTTATAATAGATCAAATGATTGAGTCTGAAATCAGTCCAACAAATCTGTCCAACACTAAATCTGTCAGTGATGATACAAAAAGGAGATGATTTAAAAAGTGTCCAAAATCTCAATTATTGCTGACTCTCCAGTAAACTTAAAAGTTATGTTGCTGGAGTTCCACTCAATTCTACAAATGTTTTAGCATTTTTAGCTCATTGTTTTGATTCAACATCCATTAACTCTTTGGTTTTCATCTTTTACATCACTACAAACCTTGTTACCAGCCATTTAAAGCAAGAAAAGTATCAAAGGACTCAGCGCCAAGCAGCTGCCAAAGTTTGTAACTAGCTTGTAACCATAGTCAAGACTTTAGGGGGAAGATATATGCTTGGAGGGGTTGCTGAAGCCCGAAAGTTGAACACAACCAAAAGGTTGACAAAACTTGGACCTGCATGACAGAAACACTGCGTCTACTGGATGTGTACGTATGTGACTTCATGGTACCATATTAGCCATGATAGTTTTTGACTTTAAGGTGATACGATTGTGTATTGCTTACGTTGAACTTCTGCTTAAAACTTATACAGTTGAGTCACCAGGTATTATCACAGTATATCAAAAACACTTCTGACTAGTTTCCTATTTCCTCTGTTAAATCAAACTGCCAAGATACTTTCCCACAAAAATCAGTCCCTATAAAGGACAATGATTCCTCATCCGGACCATTAACCAAAGTAATAAAGTCTTTGTTTTGGCTAAGACACACCCAGATAGATATCACAAAAAAAAAAATCTGACCCTTTGGATCAAAGGTCTAACACAAAAGCTGCCCAACCCATGGGCTCTAGTTGTCGTGTCTCTGTGCTTCTCCCTGATTCCAAACATACTCCTGAAGACAGTGAGACTGTCTGTGAGTGTGTGTGAGAGTCCCTGTAATGAGATAGGGCTATCTATTAATGGGTTAATGATTCAGTCGCCTTACTGCATCATCCAACACTATGCCAGACATGATACATATATGTATATATATATAGAGAGAGAGAGTGGTCACCCACTTTTAGGGTACTGCACTCACAAGGGAAAACTCTGTATGTACCGCAGCTTTAAGACATGATGCATGGTATAAATAAAGATGTTGAACAACAAGCAGCAATGCACCAGTCTCTGCTAAATGGATCTAATCAAAAATATCATTGCCTCTTTAGCATTTGTTATTATGTTGCAGGGCCTCGCTGGGTTAGCTATTTCAAGTTGTCTTATTGCAGCCGTTGTGAAAGCATCCAGAAACCCAAGTCCGTCTGTCTATGTGGGTGGCTGTCTGAAGCCTGGGCATTTTTAGCACGCCGTCTTGTCACTGTCACCAATCCTTTCTGCATGTCTTTGCAGAACTATAACTCTGACAGCCCGGAATGCACACTGTGATTTCATTCACCTTTCCCCTGACTACAACAGAGATCATCCGAGCTGAGCGAATCAGCGTCCGCGACATCTCCACCAACACCGCCACGCTGCAGTGGCGACCCGTTCTGTCCGGTCTGACGGGATTCTACGAGATTCGTTTCGGCCCTGTGCCTACGGGTGGAACAGGAGCGGGCGGAACAGGCGGAACTGGGACCAGCCCGAGCACTGGTGGAAGTCAGTACCAGAGAATTACCCAGAATGCAGATTCCAGCACCACCAGGCTAACAGGCCTGAAGCCTGACACCACCTATACCGCCACTCTGACGCCAGAGTCCAATGAACAGTCCTTTAACACGCTCTTCGCCACTTTTACTACAAAGCCAGGTTAGTCTACATCCTTTTACACTTTGCATTCACTGGATCCAGACTTTCACATTTAAGAATTTGCTCCATGCGTTGTGTGTCCATGTAAACTGAATGTTTTGATTAGGGATATTATTCATTATTATTGGCACTTTATAGGGAAATTATTTAACATTAGAGTTTATTTTTTCCTCCCAAATTAAAAAATAATTGTGTTCTTTCTATTAGACTTTCATTACTGTACCTAACCAAACCACATTGGCAAGTTATCCTTATATTTATTTAATGTTTATAACAAAGGGTTTCTCCATTGATCACTTGTTTGTCATGCCATTATTTAGCCAGCACTCATCAGTTGTATATAACTTAAAGAACAGTCAAGCTGGTTTATTACTCACACAACACAAAGGTTTCTAAACAGCAGCAGCCATTTTTGTTGTTTACATAAATGCCTTCTCTCTTAAACCCACATGAGATAAATGGTTGTGATTGGCCTGACTTAAATCAGGTCGGATGGAAATCTGCCCAAGCTGGAGAAGGCCAGATGTATCTTGCCAGATCTAATTAAACATGAGCTCGCAGATTTGTCTGCTTCCCAGGCTGAGTAAAAAAGATTAGCTTGGAAAACGCTATTTCTTGAACAATGACCTGAATGTTCAGCTGACCCGCTGTACAATGGCTTAAAAACTTGCTGTTATCTGAAAAACATTGACTTGAGGTGTACCAATCCTGGACTCTTTTCTTCCTTTTGTTGTTTCTGTTATTAGAAAAAACTAATTCACACCTGTCAGAATGTACACCCATTATAATTGGTTATATTATCTCAGAGTGACTCTGTGTTTTTTCTGGACTCCTCATACACCAGAGTTGCTGAGCCCGGCGACCGTGACGATCTCTGACTCAGGCCCAACCAGCGTTCGGGTGAGTTGGGGTCCTGTTCAGCCTGACAAGGTCACAAGTTACTACATCGAGTACTCAGCCCTGCCAGGGGGGAAGCTCAATGCTGTCACAGTGGGACGCACTCAAAACTCCACACTCCTCAGAGACCTTCAGCCTGATACCACTTACCTCGTCACCATTACTGCCCGGCACGCTACCGGCAAGGAGAAGGCCATGTCTGTCAAAGTGTGCACTGAGGAAGGTGAGCTAGAAGGAGAAAAAGCCGCCAAACTTGAATGAGGATCAATTTACTGCACACTAATCCTAATCCTGCACAGCCTATTCCGCTTAGGGTCTTACATTTCAGATAATTACCTGCGTTTTCGTACAGGTTTGACTACTTTAGGTGCTCACTGAGCAGCTGGAGTGGCTTCGATTTAAAAGAATTCACATTTTTCTACTGCAAGAGTCACATTGTATGTTATCAGTTTTTACTCTGATTACATCTCTGTGGTCTCACTTTCCAGTGACTCCAGCCCTGGCAGACCTGCAGCTGACCACGGTGGGGAGCGACTCGGTGCAGGTGGACTGGAAGGGCAGTGTAGCCGGTCTGAGGGGCTACTGGCTCACCTGGGAGGGGCAGCAGAACTCAATACCTGACCAGCGCTCCTCCCTCTATTTGCCGCCTGACTCTCTGTCAACGCGCCTTTCACACATCCCTCCTTCAGCAAGAGTGTGTGTGTCGCCCATTTATCGGACAGCGCGGGGAGAGGGACTGTGTTGCACTGCACAGTTTCATTCAGGTGAGTAAAGTAAGAAAGAAAATGTTTGAATTCATACTGGATGGTACAGACGCTCTAAATTGAACTTTAAACTGATTTATGATGACCTTAATGATCTGCTGCTGATTCATTCCATTTGATCTCTGACGGCTGTGTTCATGAAGCAAAAGGAAACATATTACTTTGACTTTTGCACAGATGTTAAAAGTGTCAAAACCTAAATATCTACTCTTCTGTCCTCTCCCTCTTTCCTCCTCGTCTTTAGATGCATTAGCATATGGCTACCAATCATAGCACTCCTGAACTGCAAGTGCACCTTACCAAACATGGAGGGACGATTGGCAAGAAGAATGCTGACTTTCATCCATAATTCTTTTCCTGCCTCTCCCCTTCTGTGGACATCCTCGAGGAGGGCTGTGTGGTTTGGCTCACTGAGCGCTAACGTGGAAGCCATAGACACTTAATAGTGGTCTGGGACAATATGACCACATGTTGACTGCTACGATCTGCAACACAGAGGACCCTTTGCTTTCCCGTTTCTGTGTCTCATCTGGTTAACACCTGCAGTAAATGTATAACACTTCAGTTAAAAGATGCAAACTTTCAATATTACTTAGGCCTGTTTCGCAGTTACAGAGCAGGGCATGCTGGGAATGTTGGATGTCTTATGTGGCTTGTTTAGGAGAAAAGGCTTTCTTGCCATATGTGGGCCTGAAGCCCGACACTGCATATTTTTTCCAACTCCTGCTAACACTCAGAGCACATCTGATTTACATTTATAATGGATACTTATGACTTGTACTTAAATGACTTCTCTCTTTGCACATGCTCCATACTCGCATGTGTGCACACTGGAGCGCCGCATTACAACGTTCACATCCCTAATAACAGGATCTTCAGGATCGCTTTGAACTTTTCCAAAATTACAAACAGACATGCCCTGAAACTACGGAGATGCTGCATCTTTTTACCCATGAGTTTTACTGAGAGAAGGTCTCTGCATAGATCTATCGTTCATATTTATTAATCTGTATTCGTGTAAGTGTAAGAATTAATAGCATTCATACTGTATTTACAGGCAGGAAGTTTACATTTTAAGACTGTTACCTTTTTTTTTAAGGCCGGTCTTTGCTGCCACCTACTGAAAAGATCTTTATCGTTGACTGTTATCTTCTGAAAGCAAATGTAAGGTTTTATGACTGTTCACCACTTTTGAATTTTAACATGAGCTTGCAATAAAGGCCTTTAATAATTTTGTTTATACACATGTATTATTTTTCTATCACACAATCTGTGTAATTTTTTTTTAAGTCTTGAGAATAACTCCTCAGAAGGGGAAGACACTTGTGTAATGTCTTAACGGCTCTGCAAGAAATTTTAAGTGATCATTTCACAGGCAGAGAAGTTCTTATGAGAGGAGTTTAGAATTACGATTGGGCATTTTTTTTAACTATAACGCCCTCTAGAGACTAAAATCCAGAATATCTCCCCCTCATATTTTGAGCGCTCTTTCTTAAATGTGTCTCTTTAAAGTACTCAGCCTTTTTTTTAGCAAATTCAAAACATTAAAAAAGCACCTTTGTATACCAACACTCGCAGAGACAAACACAGGATTATTGAGGAAACAAAGAGTTTGATTCCAAAAGTCGCTTTTTAAAGGTGTCGTCCCCTTTATAAATGTTGTTACATATGGCAGTACTTAAAAGCGCAGTATAAACCACATGCTTGACATGAATAGTGTTTTAAAAATCTGTGCGCAGATCAAGCAAACAAACGATAAAATAACTAGAATACATCCACAGTTAAACTTGCTCCTGAGAAGGCAAATGTCTGCATCAATGCTGCCCCCTGCTGGAGAAAGGAAGCAACTGCACTATGTCAGCAGGTATAATTAACAGAGTTACAAAAGGTTAGTGGATAATGTCACATTGCTAGATAAATGTTAAATGGAAAGATTATTAATGAAGTTCTTTTTCACCACATTTATTGTATTTTCTGTGTTTTTTTAACCAATTTGAATTTTGTTTCAGTTAAAGTGAAATGGGCAGCAGTAGCTCAGTCTGTAGGGAGTTGGGTTGGGAACTAGAGGGTGACCGGTTCAAGTCCTGGGGCAGACCAAATATGGAAGTTGGTATGATAGCTGGAGTGGTGTCAGCTCACCTCCTGAGCATTGCTGAGGTGCCCCCAAGCAAGGCACCAAACCCCCTCCCCACCATCAGCTCAGGAGTGCCTGCTGTGGGCTGTTCTGTCACATCTCCATAGGATCCTGTTTCTGCATGTTTATGTATATTTCAGCCTATGTGTGTGTTCATGACTTACAGAGTGTAAAAACTGAAATTTCCCCTTGTGGGGATCAATAAAAGATCCCCTTGATCAATAAAAGTAATTTCAGAATCTGAATCTGCTTTAATGGCCAGGTATGCTCACAAATTTTACTCTCCATGTACAAAGTATAAAATTAAATATTAACAACAATCAAACAAATGAACAAAGACTAATCGTCTATGCAAACAAATAATTAAGGAGAGGAGTGCAAAAGATGCTAAAATAAAAATGATCATACTTAGGTAACGGGTTAACTTACATTAAGTGCATCGTTTTACAGTATTTACATGAAGGCAGTGTGCATAGATTGATGTCAGAGGAGGAGGATAACAAGATTTACAAGATGAGTGTTAATAAAATATATATAATTACTACTAGTTACATTCAGTGTGTGTTTTGTAACAGGATTATTTCACAGTGACAGATCCGATGCTCTGTGACTGTCTTGTGAGTCTAATTGAGTCTAATAAAGTTCACATATCTATTTTTTCCTCCAAAGAACAACACAAAGTTAATTAGAGCAATTGGACTAACCTCCCTGAGGAGATAAGGCAGAATCAGAAACTTCTTCAAAATACTTTTAGGCGGCGCAGATGGCCTGGCGGTTAGGTCGCGCCCCATGCAGGAGGCTATAGTCCCCCAAAGCGGACGACCTTGGTTCAAGTCCTCTCTGTGGGTCCCCTCCTGCATGTCATTCCCCACTTTCTATCATTTCCTACCATATCCCTGCTCCATGTCAAATAAAGGCAAAACACCCAAAAACCAATCTTGATATACCATTTTATTTTAAATCTTTTGTGTCTAGTTGAACTCTTCATTTGGATTTATTCTTCTTGATGTTTTTCTTTTGCATTTTGTAATTGCCTTTTGTTTGAATTTTGTAGACCTCTCACTGTTTGGCCTGACTATTTATGATTAATTTGTTATATTCCCAAATTACTGCCTTTGCTTTGTCTGTCAAATCACTTTGTAAACATCAGGTTTTAAATGTGCTGTATAAATACAATTATTGCTATTATTATTATTATTATTATTATTATTATTTTAGTGTTTGGTATAAAGGTTTAAATCAATATCTACCTTCTCATGAAGACACAGGTTTTGTAAATCTGAAGTGAACATCTCATCTGATGTAGTTGCTGTGTCAGTCCAGCAGGGGGCGTTAATCTTTAGCCCGTCAGACTTCAAGCCCCTGACATTGTGAAGATGGAGGCTGCTTTGCTCTAGACCAGGAAACAGAGAAAACCACCAACTGCAGGGTTCAGAGATCTGTTATGACAACATATCCAGCCGGTTCAGGTAAATAGAAAACACCTTTGGTTACGTTGCTAGCGAGCTAACGTGAGCGTCTTTGTAAAGTTAGGCGGCTAACAGTAATGACAGCGAGCTAATGTCAGCGGAGGAGTTAGCATTAGCACAGCTAGCTGGAAGCGTCGGCTCTACTGTAACCAAGTACGATAAGTTACTCTTCTCTAGTGTTTTCGAGAGACACAGTCTTGTATCGCAGAAAGCAGCCGGCAGCTTACTTCACAAGCTCTTGTCATCAGCAGTGATGTGGGAGGTGTTTTGATGTCAGTGCTAGCTAGCGTTAGCATGCTAATGGTTTTCAGGACCGTTTCCTGGTTCGTCGGCTGGTCGACGATCCGAGCTTCAGACTGTGTGTATCTTTTATTTACCAACTTCGTTTAATATGAAAAGAGTATATAAGAGCTTGTATTAAACACTTTCTGTGTTAATAAAGCCCTCATAGCATCGTCACTTAGATAGAAAAACAAAAATCAGGGCTGTAAATGTCATCTCACATGATGAGTGTAAAAGCATTAAAATCATGCAACAAATAGTCAAACATGTCGTTTTTGTGTAAGTAATACGTTTTAATGCGGCATCCTACCTCCATCAGATTACACTTAGTTGCTATCTAAGAGTAAATACGTTCAATATGTTAAAGCTGGATAATCTTATGATCGAAACTATTATCACAAACAGTCTTGTTTGCCATGTATGCTGTCTGCAGGGTTACATGCTGACACTTTTGGCACAGCTGTGTTTGTGTTACTTATTAGTCAAGTATGCTGCTCATAGTTTCCCCAGCTTGCCATACTGAGCTGACCTTCTGTGTTTGTGTGTCTACAGGTGGAGGCAGGAGGTGTGAGTAGACTGTACTAAGACATCAGCAGCATGTACTCCGAGTGGCGCTCGCTGCAGCTGGTGGTGCAGAGTGACCAGGGCCACCTCAGTGTTCTGCACACCTACCCCACCAGCGTGGGTACTGAGGTGGCAAATGCTGTGGTCAGGCCTCTGGGGACAGCTGTAAGCCCTGTGGCCACAGAGAACATCCTCAAGACAGACAAGGAGGTGAGAGAGACTCCCATGCTGCTGTACCTTTGGATCGTGTTGACATGTTGTTTTAGTGCTTAGGTAGAATGCTTTGCTTCGAGTTATATTACCAAAACTTAAGAGAACCTGTCAGCTTCTGAATGTCTCCCCTTATGATGATGATGATGATGATGATGATGATGATGATTTTTTTGCTGTTTGGCCTTTATTGGATAGGACAGCTGGAGAGTGACAGGAAATGTTGGGAGGAGATAGAAGGGGGATGCAGCAAAGGGCTGAGGTCGGATTTGAACCGACAGCCGTTGCATTGAGGACTAATGCCTCTGTACATGGGGCGTGCATCGGACCCTTTAGGCTATCCGGTGCCCCAAAATCCTTTTATTTTTACTCTAAAAGGAGGGGATACAGGAATGTTGCACTTTAAAAAAAAAAAAAAAGAAAAAAGTATGGTCTCTTTAACTGAGATTTAATTTCTATTATTAGTTGTTTGAATTCTTGCAAGTCATTTTGGTGACACCACTGTAAGGAAGTTTAGATTAAATGTCCTGCGTGCTCCTTGTTTGTTTTAACATGCTGTAATGTGAACAGTAATAGGTATAAAGGAACATCCCTCTATATCCTACTGTACACTGTCTGTGTACCACATAATTACACTTATGCATGCAGAGGGCAACTTTATTGAACATATAGATTTCTATGTCATTATTGTTACAACCAACCAACACACACATCATTAAAATAACTGCACTTCTAAAAAGATGTATTGCTTCTTGTTTCCCTCGCTTAATTAAGTTTACAGGCAGTTTGATCATTATAACCAATCCTAGCAAAATGCTTAACATTACTTTGCATATTTATGCAAATCTACAACGGCTCTTTTGAAAGCATTTTCAGACACATTTTTTGAAGATACAGTCAAGATTTACAGCCAGAATGACTCTTCAGTATGTTAGTATTAAGTGTTCATACCTAAATCCAGGAGGTTTCTCCTTTGCTTTCTTTTATGTCTGCATTTAAAGGGAAATTCGATGATTTTAAACCTGGGCCAACTTTATGTATTTGGGATCTAAATGATTATAATAAAAAAAAGAAGTTCTGAAAAGGCCCAAAGACTAGTTGGGCTGTTGCCCATTTTAATGAGGATCTCGGTATAGTCAGGAGAAGCTGTGGTATTTAAAGCGTCACTAATGGAGGTGCTGCAGAGTTAGCTTTTCATATCCCTGCAGGGCAGACATTTTTCTTTGCATCTTGTGCATTGTTTATGTAAAAAAATACAATGATAAAGGCCTTTTGGATATCTTAAAGCCTCTGATGCAGGATGGAGAGAGTATTCTATGAACCCCTGAGAGGAACTTGGATTTTTGCTGATGAGAAATATTAAGTGTGTTACTGACTGTTGTTTTTCGAGCTGCATTTAATGGATTGGCGTATCAGCTATAAAAAGCAGATGAGGTTGTTTTCTTTGTGTGCTCTCTGTCTGCTAACTAACAAGCGCTGCTGTGAGCAAATGAACTGCAGAGCTCACAGCAAGCCAGGGGGTTTCAATTAATGATATGACAGCGTGCGTCAGGAAGCGCTGTGAGAGGATGTGCTGGGTTAAAAATACTTCAGCAATATTTCTCAGGTGCACCATGCATCTGAAGGGCTGCTGTTGCTTTGAGCTGAACTTCATACTGAGGATGAAGCTTGGATTAACATTCTCACCAGTGCTGATCTACACTGACTCTCATGTTGACAACAATAACAACAAAGAATCTAGGAGACTTAACAAAAAAACAAAAAGTTGCAGAAAACTGACAAGGATGATGTAGGCTCGCTATAGGCTATGAAGGTACTGAGCATGTAAATAATTGAATCAGAACGATGGTGTGAATGAACCCTTTACTTTACTGTGATCTTAGACTTTGATATATTCAGCAATTTAATTTTTTTTAAAACATGATGGTCTGCAAAATCAAATCTTGTTTTTCATCCATCTCTTGCATTTTGAATGTTCTGTCTTTTATGGGCAGATAGATGAATAGAAAAACAGAAAGAGGGGTTGAGAGATGAAGTGAATTGTTATTGCCGTCATCATCTTACTATAAACCTTTGGCCTTATTTGTTATGAGACACTAAATCATGTGTTAAGCTTCTCAAGGTCTCTCACTTGATATAGTGCAGTTGTGCATGAGGGGTGCAGTATTATATAAAAAGAATGGCAACACTCACAGGATATGACACTGATGGAAAAAAAGTCCTGCTTATGGGAGCAGTGGTTTGTGTGTCATGTTCAACAGGAAGCAGGACTTTATGCTATATAGTAAGATGCTACATAATGAACCCAGAAGTTTGTTTGCTTTTAACTTTTAAACATTAACAGAAATTAACGACAAAGGTGTGTTTGACTCCTAGGTTAAGTGGACCATGGAGGTGCTTTGTTACGGTCTCACGCTCCCTTTAGAGGGGGACACAGTCAAACTGTGTGTGGATGTGTACACGGACTGGATGATGGCCCTGGTGTCCCCCAGAGACTCAATGCCTCAGCCTGTGGTCAAAGAGCCCAATATGTACGTCCAGACCATCCTCAAACATCTCTACAACGTCTTTGTACCCAGGTATGTCAGACATGTTCACACATGATCCTAAAGCTGCGCTAAGTCATCCTCCATAAACCTCTTGTCACTAAAATACCTGCTGTTTTCTGACTGTCTCTCCCTGCAGACCTGAGCAGCACAGTCTGAACCACATCAGGCTTTGCCAGCAGGTTTTGACTGCAGTTCAGAAATTGGCAAGAGAGTCTGTATCCATGGTGAGGGAAACCTGGGAGGTGCTCCTTCTCTTCCTGCTGCGCATCAATGACACATTACTTGCACCGCCCACAGTTGGAGGTATGACCCACCCTTCTCTTTTCCTTTTCATATAATTACTAATTAAATCTGATGAACAACACCATTCATCTCTTTAATGTCTTCCCTTTTTTCAGTTGGAGTGGCAGAGAAACTGGCAGAGAAACTCATGGCGGTGCTGTTTGAGGTGTGGTTGCTGGCATGTGCACGCTGCTTTCCCACGCCCCCGTACTGGAAGACAGCAAGGGAGATGCTGGCCAACTGGAGACACCACCCACCTGTTGTTGAGCAGTGGAGCAGAGTTGCCTGTGCCCTGACATCTAGGTTAGAAAGACATCAACTCAACTTCATGTGGCTTTAAGATACATACACTGAAACAGATTAAGCACTTTCCTCAACTGTTTAAAATGGGAAATTAACTGATTTTTAAACTTGTAGTTTCTGTCATGTGGAATATATCCGTGTTTTTAATGAAGAAAAAGGATGAAAAATTACAAGTAATAAGTGCGTTCACTTTCTTAAGTGTTATCATTTATGCCTTTCTGTCTCACTTTTTCAATCCAGACTTTTACGCTTCACCCACGGACCGTCCTTCCCGCCTTTCAAAGTCCCCGATGAAGATGCCAACCTTATTCCTTTAGAAATGGACAATGACTGTGTTGCACAGACGTGGTACCGCTTTCTTCACATGCTCAGGTACATAGAACATGTTCTTTAGGATTATAGCTTGTAAAAACTTCTTTCCCCAATTAAATTAAATGTGCTGAAGTGGGATGGAGACGTGGTGTTAATAGAGAGACGTGAAGTAGTCCCTCATCTTAAGTCAAGTTCCCCTAGTTCTCCTTCTCTGTGTACTCGGCTTCCTCTGTCTGGAAGTTGATTCTAGTAATGATTTCTGCTACAGACATATTTATTGTTATTGCGGTTGCCTATTGTTTCCCATTAATTTTTGTTCTGTGCTGTATAGTGTTGTAGTTATCAAGATCGGTCTCGAGACCACTTTTTATTCTAGTCTCAGAATCAAAACATTTTTACTTGGTCTTGTCTCGGTCTCAGTCTGGGCAGACTCCAGATTTTAAATCAAGACCGGTCAAGACTACCATTGATTCCACCTTTTTCCACACCATTACTGTGATTAGAAGGAAAACACCTTATTTTATTTTTATCTCCCAGTTTTATGGTCTGAGTGAGTGACATTCTGCACACAAGATGAGGATTTTCAGTGATATTTATGGTCTTGGTCTTGACTCGGTCTTGATCCCTAAATGTCTTGGTCTTGTCTTGTTCTCGGAGCACTCTGGTCTCGGGTATGTCTTGGTCTTGGTTAATGTGGTCTTTACTACAACACTAGTGCTGTATCATGAATCACCTATTTGAGGACATTTACTTTCTTATAGTCTAAGTGTAAATGATAGAAAAATTGTTTAGTTCTTTCTAAGCCATGTCAAAAGCAGATATCTGATTTGTCCAAATAAGTTTGAGACACCCCTGCTAAATGATTTCATCGTTTTTCTTTTTGTTTCTAGTAACCCAGTGGACCTGAGCAACCCTGCGGTCGTGAGCACCACTCCAAAGTTTCAGGAGCAGTTCCTCAACTCCAGCGGCATCCCTCATGAAGTGGTGCTGCATCCGTGTTTGAAGCAGCTACCCCAGATCTTCTTCAGGGCCATGAGAGGCATCAGCTGCCTTGTGGATGCCTTCTTGGGTAAGAGAAGTAATACATGAGAAGCTCAGCCGTGTGCCACTATCGTGTTGTAAATGCTCAACACCAACAGTGGAATACATTCCAGAGTGAAATGATAAAATGCGGCCGTAGGATCGTACTTTTGTTTTTGCACATTTGAGCCGAAGTACAATACTTTCTGTAATGTCAGTAGACGGAGCACTGAGGGAATGCTACTTTCATAATCATGCTACTTTTCTGAAATGACCAACCCTGCCTTTAAAGAGACAGTGCACAACTATATTAATTTATCTTAATAAGATACTTAAGCCATCTTAACAAATGTCCAACTGTGATTGTTGTATTGACGGCATTATATACAACAATGAGATGACTTGAATAGGTTGAATTCATGAACAATCTGTGGTTGTTATCCTGTTATGTAATCAGAGGAATTCCAGGGGGTCCTTGAGGAAAGGAAAGTATTAAATGATACAAACAAGTGAGATGTGAATTTGATCAGCATTGAAATATGTAAAAACACAAAAAGAGTCATTCTTATACAGCTTTTATAAACATTGATTTAATTTGACTTTCACTCCTTTTCCATCGTTATTCAGGCACTGCTCCTGATTAAAATCAAGAGAGAAGATGTCAGAAATACCTGTGTGTACGTCTGTATAGAAACATGTCAGTGTGTATTTTTCTCTTTACACTTTAGGTGTCTCTGTTGAAAAAAAGAGAGCTGTACGGGAGAGGGTGTTCTCTTTTTCTCCAGTGCTGCTCTCTCATGGTACAGACATCAGATGGTACATCGTATAATGTCATGTTCATGGGGGATTGGATGTAGTTTTCTGTTTTTTTTTTTTTTGGTGATGATGATATTAACAACTGGGCTCACTCTTGCCACAGGAGAATAATATGCACCAGGCATTCAGACTAAGCAACAAGATCATAAAGCAGGGGTCTTTTGTTTGTGAAAAAAAAAAAAAGTCAATCCAAATGGATGGATGTCAATTATTGCTGATTTGTCTCTAACGTGTCCTGCATGTCTACGAATTAATTTTGTCTATGATCATCTTACTGACTGGAAGCCACTTCATTTTCTTCTCTCTCTTATAACATCAGGAATGGGAAATTGGCGTCAATGATTCTACTTACTCAAAAAGGATCTGTCCCCTGGAAAAGTTGTGGGATGCAAATGATTTGTTTTGTTTACCGAAGCCAATCAGAAATCTTCTTCCCGCCTTCATCGGACAACTAAAAAAAAAAAAAACAACTAACTAAGCTTCCTGTCAACAGGTATCTCACGTCCCAGAGCTGACAGTGCCCCGCCCACTCCAGTCAACAGAATGAGCATGTCCCCGCCCCCTTCCATCACCAACACGACTCCCCCACACAGCCGCAAGCCACGACATACAGTGGTCACCAAAACCACAAGCAAGAGTTCAACTGTAAGTGAAGCCTTCCATTTTAATGTGACCAGAAGCCACTGCAGAGCGAGCTAACAGAGGCTACAGTAACAAAGATATATATTTTAGAATTTGTGTCTGTCCGATTCTCTTTGGCGGGGTGAGCATACCTGAGGGGGCTGCGAGCTGAGCCACTGTGTTTCCTCATTTTGTGAGGATGACTGGAGTTCACTCTGCTTTTTCCCGCCTCTGTTCCACTCGATTCTTTTCACTGTTTTGCAGCAGGGAAGTGGAAGTGTGCCGAATGTGCAAGATTAAAACTGCAGGCTTTCACTGTTGTTGCTTTTTCTGCAGCATGAAACACTTCTTTAACTAGCAATATCATGTAAAAATCTGAAGTTTATCACTGTTATTGATGTTAATTTTATTGCCATTCCCATTAATGTTGGTTTAGTCATCCAGCTTTAAAACATCCTGTCATTTCTTAAGCCCTTTTTATGCAGAATGAAAGCTCTTAGCTCCTTCTCGCTATTTGACATGTAAGTTACAATACTTGTGTTTCCAATGTCAGTCAGATATCTTACTCTTTCCCTGTCCACGCTTCAGAGCAGTGGGAGTCAACCAACCAAAGCATCCCAGCAGCAACAGCAGCAGCAGCAGCAGCAGACTTCTTCCTCCCCGACCCTTCTTTCCAGCCCCAATCAGAGCAGCTGGGAGTCTCGACCCCTGCCGGCCCCGGCAAGACCGAAGGTCAACAGCATCCTCAACCTGTTTGGCCAGTGGCTTTTCGATGCTGCTCTGGTCCACTGTAAGCTCCACAGCGGCCTCAGCAGAGACCCAAGCATGACCGGTAAGCAGCGAGGCGATAGCTGGTAGTGTTTCCATAAATGCATGGGCAGGTGGGTGTTTTGTTTCTGTTCATTCGAGTGTGTTTTTGTGGAGTTATCTGTGTCTTTTGTTCTTTTGACTGTATGTTGTTGGGATATCCTTTCCTTTTTTATCACCATTCTCTCTGAAACTTCTTTGTGTCGTTCGTTTTGTGTGTGGAGGGCTTGGTTAGAAGTGGCCTGATATGAGATTTCCATCTGATTCTAATCCATACATCCACCAACTATTGAAACCTGGCTAAATCTGCATAAACACTATGATCACATGTCAAATAAAGACATCACCCAGTGGTTAAATTAGTGAAATCATTGTTAGAGGAACCATTGAAAGCATATTCAGTTGTTGTTGTTTTAAAAAGAGATTTGGCTCATCATTGGCGTTATATTAATTTTCCTCTTTTTGGTGAAGTGTCCTGCACGTGTCTACCATGTCTGATTAATGTTAACCAATTTGTCAAGGTCATGTACGTATTAAGGAGAACAAAAATAAAACACAATTCATGCCTGAAATGAATTGATCCCCAAATATTGGACCTGCTTTGATTTTGTGTCTCTCCACTATTTCTGTTATCTTGCAGCCTCTTTTATCCAAATTCTCCTTTCTTATAAATCTTGTAAGTAGGAACAGCAGCTTTTCTTTCCTCACTTGATTTGCGTTCCTTGAAAAATCTTCCTGCTTTTTTTTTTGTTTGTTTTTTTGTAGTTGAGTTCCTCATGATCATTGTCATTACTGCCATTGTTTTTCTGTTCCCACTGCTTGTCATATATCAAAGTTTCACCAGCGTTCTCTCAGCGTTTCTCCAAAGGTGACGGAATGGGTTTCACCAACTGACCACTTGTCTCGACCATAATGTTGCCAGTTTGTGACAACACCACCCTCTTTTGAGTTCTCATTTTCTCTTCCATTGGGTCACACTAATCCTTATTATTTCCTCTCAGACCCCCCCCCCCCTTGAGTTCAGCATTTATTTCTTGTAAATTTCCTTGTTTACTGTCAGTCCACTTGAGTTTTGATTTTTATTGGTTTGGTGCCTCGATGCATGAAGTGAATGTTCTGTCCCTTGAGTGACAGTCATGTGATTGCAACAGCGCAGGAGCTGACACAGAGATTTTGCAGAGGAAAACATTTATACTAGCAGCACGCTTCACTTGGTTAACTTCTATGGCAAACTCTTTGTGTCACAGCTCCCTTTTTTGAATGCCTTTCGAAGATGTGAGTGTGTGTTTGCAGTCATGGAGTATCTGTTCCCTCTCGTTGTGAAAGCAATTAAACGTCTGCTTTATGGTGCTTTTGTTTTTTTCTAATGTTGACTTTTACTGTAGTGTGCATACAGCAGCTAAATGTTAACATCTGCCTGTGTCTCATACGTGCATGTATCCTAATGACCGCATTACAATTCAGTGTCCTTTCATTCTCTTGTCTCTTCCCGCTCTCTACAGCCATAGCCACTCAAGTAGGTCTGGAGCTGAGAAGGAAGGGTTCACAGATGTCCACAGACTCCATGGTGTCCAACCCCATGTTTGATGCCAACGAGTTCCCAGAGAGCTACGAGGCAGGACGAGCCGAGGCCTGCGGGACTCTCTGTCGCATCTTCTGTAGCAAGAAAACCGGGGAGGATATACTACCTGTTTACCTGTCGAGGTAACCCAGTCAGTTCTCACTTATAAAAGCCAAACTGTAAGCATTGAGATTTCTATCATGAAAAACTAATTATTTCTCTTTCTCTTCATGCAGATTCTACATGATCCTGATTCAAGGCCTCCAGATCTCTGATTTCATCTGTAGACCAGTTCTGGCTTCTATTATTCTCAACTCTTCCTCTCTCTTCTGCACCGATCTGAAGGGCATCAATGTGGTGGTGCCGTACTTCATAGCTGCACTGGAGACTATTGTACCAGACAGGTCAGACTGGTATCTTACACTGATTGAATCTCTGTCATGCTTTAACATTCCTTTTATTTCTGGATAACTTTATCAGACTGTAAGATCTTAGTGAGACTTCTCTTCAGAGGTTTAGAGAATACTGGAAGTTTCATGACATTTATATGATTTGTTTTTCTCTTTGCAGAGAGCTGTCCAAATTCAAGATGTATGTAAATCCTACCGACCTGAGGAGAGCCTCCATCAACATCCTGCTTGCCATGCTGCCTCTGCCACATCACTTTGGCAACATTAAATCAGAGGTAAAACTTTTGCTGTCTGACCTTTTTTTTTTTTTTTTTAAGTCCTAAGAAGCGAGTGAGAACATAAAAAAGTCTGGTGATCCTTGAAAATAGACTGATCTAAAATGTTCTCCCTCCATTTTTTTTTCTTTCTTACAACTCAAGAAAAGAACTCCGGACAAAAACATTCATTTTTTCCTCTGGGTCAGTTTGAACTCCTATGCAGAGCAGTAGTTGTTCTTATCATCCCCTTGTGGCTGCATTGAGTATAACAACAACACACTTGAGAAAATAAACCAATAATAAAAAATCACTGTCAAATTAATTTAAAACATTTTTTTTTCACAGAAGGAAAAAAAAAAGTAGATCAGAAGTTGTCCATGAAAACTTCTCATTTCATGAGACAAAACTGTTTCCACTTGATCTGTTTCTTTCCCTGGCAAATCTTGTTTTCAATATCTTTTTGGGGGTCTTTTTATGCCTTTTTTTTTTAGAGAAGTGGATAGAGTCAGATACCAGGAGAGAGAGAGAGAGAGTGGGGAATGACATGTGGGAAAGGAGCCAAAGGTCACATTTGAACATGGGGCGCCCGCTTTTCAATGACTTAAGCCTCTGTTCATGGGGCGTGCACACTAACCGCTAGGCTACCAGCGCCCCCGTTTTTTCCCAACTTTAACACAGAAGAAGTACAGGTTGAGTTCAGACATTTACACTGGATCAACTGATATTCTCTCTCACTTTCTTCTCTGGGCTTCTAGACCTCAGTTATGTAAACTGAATTACCGCAGCTTTTCACTGTAGCATTTTTTTAAATTCTTGTCGAAGCATATCCAAGGCATAAAGCCGCTTTAAGTTAAGTACACTGTGTTCTTTACCATTTTGATGTTTTTTGTCTGTAGGTCCTTTTGGAAGGAAAGTTCAATGAGGAGGACGGGTGGCCTCATGACCAGCCCGTGTCTTTCCTGTCACTGAGGCTACGTCTGGTTAATGTCCTCATTGGAGCACTACAGACTGAGACCGATCCCACGAACACACAGCTCATCTTGGGTATCTACTTCTTTATGTTTATTTTTATATTCCATGTCTGGATCATTTTTGCAAACCTAAACAATACTGTTACAGTTTTAATATATTCTATATGGATCCCTCATTTCTCTCCCTTCAGGTGCAATGCTCAATATTGTTCAAGACTCGGCGCTGTTGGAGTCCATCGGTGCGCAGACGGAAACAGTAAGACTCTGATTGCTGCTGTTAAACATTTTATGATGCTTGACACAGTGTGATGGACTGTACTTAAAGAGAGTTTTTTTTATGGTTGTAGGGGAGTATAGATGGGAGCCAAATAACCTCAAGGAGCCAGAGTCACAGTCGCACCAACAGTGGCATCAGCTTCAACAGCGGGGGCAGCACAGAAGCCACCAGCCCAGACTCTGAGCGCCCTGCCCAGGCCCTGCTGCGAGACTACGGTAAGACACATGGCCCCTCCACATAAACTAATAACCCTGTGCTTTCAGAATTAACACGATGAACCTAGCATTGCTTAAATTGTTCATAACGATCCTCTGCGAGCATTCGACTGTGATTCTTACCTGCTTGCTGATCTACTAACACGTGTTCCTTATAGCTAACGTGGTTAAAGTGATGTTCAGAGTTAAGAAGCGTTGGGTGAAATGTCTCTGTAGGTGAAGTAAAAGTTATTTGCTGTGATGCTGTGTCTTCTTTGGCTCTTACACTGAAGAAGTGCTCGAGCTGTTTAAGTCTTTTCTCTCACTGATTGGTTGCAACAAAGTTTCCTAATCAGAAGCACTTCAAAAATTCTCCAGAGGGGGTTGAGTGATGTTTGACTAAATGAAAGTGTTTGTTATTGTTATCACAGAGATATTTCTGATGTATAACCACTCCTGTTTCCCAGCAAGTTCCCATACATTACCCTTTAAGTCAGTGCTGCTTCTAGGAAGCTTTCTCCTGCAGGAAATGGGCGTCTGCAGACTTCCTGTTTGACAGACCATTGCATTGTTTCAGTGCCGGACAGGAAACAGGACTTATCTGTGTGCAGCAGACTAGAAACACTTCTTGATCCGCTGAAGCCATTTTAGAATGACTTAAGGATTTTTGAGCTGATAATATTAATTATACATTTGAAAATCACAAGCATGGATCTGAAGCTTGAGCCAGATCTCCAACATCAACATAAGCATCTTAACTCATATCTCAGCTAGTTTGCTCTATCCTCCTTGAGTGTGTACACTCCTGATTTGATAGTCAGACAACAAATGGTTGGGAATTGTACTGATAACTCATCCGCATTGATTTTATGAAGGATACGAGTTATGCGTAGTAAGGCGTTTGTCTGACCTGATTGACAGGTGGGGGCAATGTAATGATTGTCAAGAGGCTAAAGACCCGCCTCTGCTGCAGCTTTGTTTTGAAAGTTAGGGTGAGACAGCATTTCCTGCATGGAGACTGCCATCGATGACTCCCAAAGCCCCCTGCAGTAACAAATGGGTGACATCACTCGGGCTCTGTCCACTAATATTTACAATATTTACAGTCTATGATATTACCTAAAGACTCCATTTCTTTCACTGGTTAATGTCATTCTTGTGCAACAAAGCCAACTATTCGAGCAACTTTAAATTATCCTTTAACAATAGCTCAAACATTTCTTTACTGTGATTCAATCTATTTCATTTTCTCAGTTAAAATTAGAAAGTGCTGGCTGACAAGTTGTGACTTCTGACATGTACATTCTCTGTTGTCCTATCAGATCAGCCACATAAATGAACTTATTGCCATAAGTTTGTTAAAATGACTAAGTCCATTTTTTAAGGTCAAAGCTTGATCGCTCAGCCCTGTTCCTGGACAATGTATTCACTCTGTATTCTACGGACTATCTGTGTGCTTTACTGATTAAAACTGAATGTTTAAAATACCAGGACTGACTTATTTACTAACTTGGCATTCAGGACATTTTCCCTTTTGTTCTCTATATTTTGGCTGTGTTGCCTGAATCTTGCTTTGCTCTATTCTTTGCGGTGTTTGGTATTTTCGGGGTGTTATATGGTCTAGCTCTTCCAGATACGGCGGCAGGCCTGCTGGTGCGAAGCATCCACCTGGTCACCCAGAGACTCAACTCCCAGTGGAGGCAGGACATGAACATTTCACTGGCTGCACTGGAGCTGCTGGCCGGACTCGCCAAGGTAAAGCTGCACTGTCCAAACACCACAGAGACTCAGTGACACCATGAGGTCATTTACATTTACTGAAGCAATTTCTCTAACAATACTGTATTGTTTTTTTTTTTTTGCACAGGTTAGGGTGGGAGTTGACTCTGCAGACCGTAAGCGAGCTGTCAGCTCTATATGTGGGTACATTGTGTACCAGTGTAGCCGTCCAGCTCCTCTTCAATCCCGAGACCTCCACTCCATGATCGTAGCTGCCTTCCAGTTTCTTTGCGTGTGGCTCACAGAGCACCCCGACATGCTGGATGAGAAGGTATGGTTAAAGAATACATACTGTACATTTTTGCCTCAGATATTTGGTTTCAAGCTACACTGCTACTGAGATCGTACGGAAGATATCACTCAAAAATTTAAGTCAGAATTCGACAGAAGATTTTGTCAGTAAGTTTCGAGTCTGGCTCAAGGCTTGTGTAATGAAATGAAAATGTTGTACTTATCCTCTGAGATTGTGTTCCCTTTTCTTACCAGGACTGTTTGGTCGAGGTGTTGGAGATTGTGGAGCTGGGAATATCTGGCAGCAAGTCTCGACAGGAACAAGAAGTCCGACATAAAGGGGAGAAGGAGCACAACCCAGCCTCCATGAGGGTGAAGGACGCTGCTGAGGCCACTCTATCCTGGTGAGATCAGAAATTCACTGCAAAGTAGCGTTGTAGTTAAAAATGGTCCCTTTAAACTCTTGCTTTTAACAACTGAAACTAAAAAGTACTTTTTTTTAACTTCAAAAACAGTACACCAGTTCTGTCAGCAACATTTCCTGGGCCTCTTAGTGGGGATAAAAAAAGCACCAAAGGGGGAAAATTGGGCTGCATGTGATTGTACAGGGCGTTATGTTGGGTGTTTCTTGGTGGTAATAGTAGAAGAAACTCTTTAACATGTTGCCACTTTTGCATTTTGTAAAAGATCTGCATAAAACGCTAACTAATGATCAGGCTTTTAACATATTTGACATGCTGACAGGGTGAGATCCAGACTGCTGACACACACATACAAACCTTTGATTAGGAACTGAAATTAGCTTCAATTTAAAATGGTGTTGATGATGATGTCAAACGTGACACTTTGTCTCTGCTGACTTGTGGAGCTTGTTACTCGATAGCAGTCCCTGTCAAAGCCTTTCATTTAAAACCTTATGTATTGTGTTTGGCCTAATATATGTTTTGATTGCCCTTCAAATCTTTTTGGTTGCACAAAATGTGTATTTGTTACATATTCCTGTTGCTCCAATGACCTCCTACCCTCCATTTTTCTGCTTCTCCACATGGCACACAGATGGCCACTTGAAAGTAAACATGCTGTACCTACTGACCCAGTTCCGTCATATTTACGCTCTTCTTGGTTTTACTGTGGTCTTTCCCAGTATCATGCAGGTGTTGGGGGCCTTCCCTTCCCCCAGCGGTCCTGCCTCCACCTGCAGCCTGCTGAACGAGGACACCTTGATTCGCTATGCTAGACTCAGTGCCACAGGAGCGAGCAACTTCCGCTACTTCGTCCTGGACAACTCTGTCATCCTGGCCATGCTGGAGCAGCCTCTCGGCAATGAGCAGAGTCAGTAATTTGAAGTAGTAACGGTTTATAAGGCATTACATATTACAGTATTGGGGAGAATAAGGGAGTAACTTAGTTTATTTGAAGATGAACTAGATCTCTATTGATCCTTAATGGTGGAACTAACATTAAAATTACAGATCAATTATCACATAGCAAGTACCAATCTCTTACTGAATGAAAATCAAATAACAATCCTGTTGCTCCATAAATAAGATCTTCTCTGTCCTCACAGACCCAAGTCCCTCAGTGACAGTCTTGATCCGAGGGACTGCTGGTCGACATGCCTGGACCATGCAGCTCTTCCACCAACCCCGAGGGGCTCGGGCCAATCAGAGGGTGAGATCACACTGTAAATTGCTGGATCACTGTGCTTCACCGGTATCATCTTGAGAAATGCTTTAGGCACATGACAAGCCAAGTTTTTCTTTGGCAAAACTTAAAGCGGCTCATCGGTTTTGCTGATAACACAACTCTGTCAATGTCTCTCCTTCCACAGCAGGTGTTTGTCCCAGAGGGCCGCCCAACACCGAACAACGACGTGGGGATCAAGTACAACGTCAAGCAGCGGCCGTTCCCCGAAGAGGTGGATAAGATTCCTCTCGTTAAAGCTGATGTAAGCATCCCCGACCTGGATGACATTGTCAGTAAAGAGGTGAGATCTGCTGTCATTAATCATATCCACATCATGACTAATTACAAACATATTACATTATAAAGCATTCTACAAAAAGGGCATGAGCTCATAAAAAAAGTGACAGATCCCTGCAGTAAACAAATCTCTGATGCTATTTGTTATACAAACTCAGGCGTGTTGTATGGGCTGGCAGGATGATTCAAGAGCTTCGAATACACTGATCAGTAATTTCCCACACGTGAGTTGATTTGAGAGATGAAATTTAACTCGGGTGTCACTTGGGAAGAAGGATGAAATCATCTGGTTGGGTGATAAAATAACGGTTGTGTGCGGCTTCTCAAGCTAATGCACGATGTTAACAGACTAACTTTTTATGAACAAAATCCCCCACATTTATTTCTGGCACAACGTGAAGGAAAGAACATTTAAAGTTTCACAAAGACTGGAGATATTGAATAGCGGCGGTAATGGATTAGTGTTAAAGGTCTACACTAATGACTTTATATTCATCAACATTTGGACGTAGCATCTCTAAGGTCCGTCTTTGAAAATTCTCCTTCCCCTTCTTTTTTTCTTTTCAGCTTGAACTTCAGCACGACAAGCTCCGTATTCTGATGACCAAGCAGATAGAGTACGAGAACGCTTTGGAGCGCCACAGCGATGAAATTTGGAAGTCAAAGCATTTCCCCGACCCACAGACGGACTGCAAACCTCCTCCACCCTCGCAGGAGTTCCAGACAGCACGCCTCTTCCTCTCCCACTTTGGCTTTCTGTCTCTGGAGGCGCTCAAGGTGGGAAAACGTAGCTGGTCTGATTTTTGTTTTGTTTCATAGCAGAGGAATAAATCTGGCAGATTTAAGTTTTTGCTAATATCCAAAATTGTAAAAAGTCTTCCAGCTCCTTACACTTAAATCTTACTGGTAGCTTTATATCGTGCTATTGAAGGATTAATTTAATTATACTTGGGTTTAAAAAAAAAACATCATATAGATTTCTAATATTGTTATTGTTAATATAGTTAATTTACAATTACAGTATTAATTTTCTCTTGACAGGAGCCCAACAACAGTCGTCTACCTCCTCATCTGATCGGTCTGGAGTCGTCCTTGCCGGGGTTTTTTGATGACATCAGCTACCTTGACCTGCTTCCCTGCCGACCGTTCGACACTGTCTTTGTTTTCTATGTGAGGGCAGGACAGAAAAGCAGCCCCGAGGTGAGGGGAACTTTGGCTGATCTGTTGTGGCAACACACAAAACACAGCATGATGTATAATCATTTAAAACTGTGGCTTGTTTTTGTATCGACACTGGAATGCATTTTACACTATATGTAAAATAAGTAAATCTTTGAATAAGAAGGATTTTGTTCCTATTCTTGTAACAATCAGATCCTGAGGAATGTGGAGTCGTCGTCCAGCGTCCAGCCCCACTTTCTAGAGTTCCTGATGTCCTTGGGCTGGCCTGTGGATGTCGGACGCCACCCAGGGTGGACTGGACACCTAGACACCAGCTGGTCCCTAAACTCCTGCTCCGACAGTAACGATATACAACAAACAGGTAAGCTATGAAGGTCTTCAGAAGAAAGCATATCACAACAGCTGTTATTCATGTACATGTTTAATATTCTGGATAATAAGTGAAACTTCTGATGATGATTTTTTTCTTTGACTACAGAAGAAGCAGCAACTCCTGAGGACACTGGAGGTTCAGTGTTCAATGGGGAGAAGAAGGTTTTGTACTATGCTGACGCCCTGACAGAGATTGCCTTCGTGGTTCCATCCTTAACAGAAAACTCCGGTCAGCCTCTGCTCTCATGAAATGTTGCATATTATATGCGATACAAAAATAAAACCCCCCGAGGAATTCATGCTTGACAGGTCCATTTTCTCTCTCTGTTGTTGTTTCCACAGAGGAGTCATCAGTGCACAGTGACTCCACAGTGGAGGCAGACACAAACTCAGAGATCATTCCTGGTGTACTCAAACAACCCAATCTCACACTGGAGCTGTTCCCCAACCACTCTGAGAACCTGGAGTCTGCCAAAAAGGTAGAGTTTGTATCTGAGCTGCACTAACTGTGATTTTAAATGAGTGTGTAGAACTTGCTTAAACTTGCTGTGTATTCCCCCCCCCCTCCTCCCCCCAAAGCTGAGTCCTTTGGTAAAGACAAAAAGGTCATCAACTGGGAAATCTTTCCCTCCTCTGGGTCCTGAGACGAAGGTGTTTGTGGTCTGGGTGGAGCGCTTTGATGACATTGGTAGGCAATGACTTTACTCGCCTTACATCTAGGGCCGTGTTTAAACTTCTACGTTTGTTAGTCACTCTTAAAAAAAGTTTAAGAACATGCCATTAGCTAGATGAGTGGATCTTATCGATCAAGTCGATCCTTTCGAAAACAAACATCATGAAACGTCACTGGGATGTAAATATAGTAACTTAAAATGTCTGAATAGGGATGTTGTGTCTGTGTGATGTGCATTCATGCCCAGTGTGCTTTAATGGCTATGTAACATGGGTAGCCTGATGCCACATTGAAGTGACTGACTGTCATTGTTTCTCTGTTTGTTTGTTTTTTTAGAGAACTTCCCGTTAACTGATCTCTTGGCGGAAACCAGCACGGGTTTGGAAGCCAGCATGAGCAACAGCACTTCCTGCAGGTATTCAGAAGTTTACACTCACAGCACTTCCTGCTAAAAATATGTAGAGCATGTGATGTTTGAACTGGTGTTTGTGGGGTGCAAAAGCAACACTATTTAAAAAACAAAGTGGCATGACCTCTATCGTGCAGAATAACAAACCGTGCATAAACGAAGGGTGCAAAACAGGAAGTAGAACCTGCAGTGTGTGCAAAAGCAGGCAGGGAAAAGGAACTGTGGCAAAGGAACTGTGAGCTGTGAAAAGTTTAAAGTGGCATAGAGGAGAATACTGTTGTTATTAATTTGTCTTATACTCAGCATCTTCACTGTAAATATTGTAGATTAGTCAACATTAACTGCAACTTCACTGACTTTGTGGTGTATTTTGTTGTTTCTATAATCTATTTTAAGATGCAACAATATTATATTCCAATATTATTAATGTGTCAGTCTAGTTTGTGCAAAACCTCCTGTATCATCTTCCCCTCTGTTTCTCTTGTTGCGTCCTCTGCAGGTCAGGGCTACTTGAGAAGGATGTACCATTGATCTTCATCCACCCTCTGAAGACGGGACTCTTCAGGGTCCGGCTGCATGGAGCTGTGGGTAAATTTGGCATGGTGATTCCCCTGGTGGACGGCATGGTGGTCAGCCGCAGAGCTCTAGGTAATGGCTTACATGGCTCTCTCTCTGTGTCTCTCTCTGTGTCTCTGTGTCTCTCTCTCTCTCTCTCTCTCTCTCTCTCTCCCTCCAGATGATACATTTTGTATTTCTCATCATTAGGAAGAGCAGGGGTAGGACGTATAAATGTATCCTGTGGTTTTTACAGGGAACTTATCAGGATCATCGCTTACTAAAACGATAATGTGTCCATGTTAATGTTGATGGCAATGGAGAGTAACATACACAGGAAATCTTTTTATATGGCAACGCAGCAGATATGGTTTGAAATATGAGCGAGGCTTGGCTGTTATTTGTTGTCTTAACAAACAAAGCAAACCTGAATCTGCTTCAGTCCATGTTATGCCACTCTTTGATACCAAACAGTGTAGGTGGAGTCTGTGTTTGAAGGTTGTTTTGGCTTTCTAAAACATAAATGTAAGAGATTTTAAAACTACAAAATCTTTAGGCAAGGCAGTTAGTTTTTGAAATGTTGAATCCTATTTCAGGTCTTAATTTCCCCCCCTTCACTTCCTGTTTCATGTAAGAAGGTGATAAGGCTGTCCTGATTTTGATCCTAAATATGAAATGTATCGTAATAAGCGTTCAGTTTGATTTAAGAAATCAAAAGCATGTTTAGTTGCTCCCTCCATATTTTTTAAAAACCACCCACTCATACTGCACACACTGAAGGAAGAGAAATCCCTTCAAAGATGACACAGCACCGTTGCTGCCTACAGCTGCACTTCTGGGGACCCCATGGTCACTACCAGATTTAAAGATGACAGAGAAACAACATAAACAAGTTCAACAGAACTGGGAAATCCTCCCGCCTCCTTGAAGGCACCGGTGTGGCATGCAGCCTTCCATACGGAGAATAACCCCAGACTTGCAAACTCTACATAGTCGGTTTGTTTACAACACACACCGTAAACAGGACTCAGGCTGAGTTTGAAAACTGCATTAAAAAACCGAAGTGATGGTGTACATTTCCTAAGACTGCTCCTACAACCTGAATAATATCAGCACATCTCACATATCTTCATCTGATATCACTACATGATGATAGAATATCCAAATAGAATATGCTCTGCGTTATTTCATCTCATGTTTGTGTTCTGCTTACTGGAACTGACAACGACAAAAAGCTTCGACTTTGCCCGGTATTACACATGTAAACTAGCCCGCTGGCTAAGTTGGGATATGTACTTTATTTTTTTGATAAAATTCTCTGTCCTTGATAAATAAACAGAATAATAAAGACAATTTAAAAAAAAAATAGGGATCCATTATCTTATTAAATGGTAATGGTGGACATGTAGCTGCAGGAGCTGGGTATCAAACCCTCGGCCTTTTGGTTGAGAGGTGACAACTGTACCAACTGAGCACACAGCCGCCCCTTGTATATCAGTGGCATAAGTGCTTAAAAAAGGATTCCATCAATTGAATATGTGAAATTAAGTATAAAATTCAATTTGGTTCAGGAGAATTTTAACACCTGTAGTGTCTCATTATTTGTTTCATCAGTTGTCAGAGAGTTTGTTACCTTTGTTTGTACACATTCTAAAAGCTGTCCATTAAGGCTAAGCCGACCTGATGAGCTTTTTTTTGTGTGTTTTTCATCCTTCTTTCAGGGTTTCTTGTTCGCCAAACGGTCATCAACGTGTGCCGACGAAAGCGCCTGGAAAGTGACTTGTACAACCCTCCTCACGTGAGGCGGAAGCAGAAAATAACGGAGATTGTCCAGCGCTACCGCAACAAGCAACTGGAGCCTGAGTTTTACACCTCGCTCTTCCACGAGGTGGGGGAGGGGAAGCCCCACCTCTAACCCGCCTGTCCCTGTCCTAACACTGGCTCACCAACGCGCACAGTAACACACCAAGCTCTTATCATATACTTCATTTACACATTACACACACACACACACACACACACACACACACACAGGAACACACACAGGAACACACACAGGAACACACAGAATCTTTATATTTATACTGTACTGTTTTGTTATTTATACAAATATCAACACTGTCTGCCTTTGACTCCGAGAGCAAAGTGTCAAAAACCATGCCAAGGTGGAAGAAGCTACATTTGTATGTCGCAGCCGCTCATCTAAACGTCTGAACGGCCGAAGCTCAACAGTGACTGTCTCTCTGCATTTAGCTCCACACTCTGTGGCAAAGACTTTCTGCTTGTCATTAACTGCAATACAATAGTAACACTTTTGGCCTTTTCTGAAATTGTACAAATGTTTGTCCTTTAAACTCTGTGAACTGAGTCGGCTTCATGATGGTTTTTGGTAAATACACACTCATAAAAACCTTACACGTTTATCTGTTTTTGTTTCGGTCAAACAGAGTTCTGTTGGATCTTTGCCAAGGAGATAAACACGTCAGACAAATGTTTTCTAATAGACATCGCTGCTGCTTCAAGGCGAGACGCAGGAACGATTGGAAGCGTTAACCCGTTGTGTCATTTTACTACAAACTCATCTCCATGCGGACACATGCTAAAAGTCTTCCTAGTGCAAACCATCACAGCATTCGACTGAGCACACAAATATTGCTGTTTGTATACGTTTTTTTTTTTTTTTTTTTACATGATTTATAGGACTCCTGCATTGTATTCTGTATTTGAACGTTATTTTTTGACATCTGCGTTGCCTCAGTGCCAGTCATGAAAGTCATCCCATCTCACATGAGTCGCTGCACTGTGTGTGTGTGTGTGTGTGTGTGTGTGTGTGTGTGTGTGTGTGTGTGTGTGTGTGTGTGTGTGTGTGTGTGTGTGTGTGTGTGTGTGTGTGTGTGTGTGTGTGTGTGTGTGTGTGTGTGTGTGTGTGTGTGTGTGTGTGTGTGTGTGTGTGTGTGTGTGTGTGTGTGTGTGTGTGTGTGTGTGTGTGTGTGTGTGTGTGTGTGTGTGTGTGTGTGTGTGTGTGTGTGTGTGTGTGTGTGTGTGTGTGTGTGTGTGTGTGTGTGGCCACATTATTTTTCAGCTAGTGAGAAACACTACAAGGAGTCATACTGACCCCTTAAAAAAAAAACCCATAGATGGCATTTAAAGAGGAATTGACAGATGATTCAGCTTTGCAAATGTAATCCTCTCATTTGTTTACTCTTCCAGCTTGGTAACGTTTGAGTTTACTGATTGTGAGAGAGTGGTGACGGAGCTCCCTGGGTTTGCACTCAATGTTTGCAGGTGGCATGTTCATGCAAACAGAACGACAGCACAGTTGAAGTGTCTCGCTCCTCCCAAACAAATCTACAGTGATGAATTAAAGGGCCAAAACACTCAGTGGAGCCAACAATGATGGAAGAAAACCACATTTTGTCAGATTAAAGCTGTAACGTTTTCATTCAAAACACTAAAAACAGATGATTTAACCTGTTAGTTGTATTCCGTTTTGATCACAGGAACATGCAATTTGCCTTCATGCACATTTTTCTTCTACCCCCCCTCCCCTCCTCCTCACAATTAGTTTCACTTGTGTTGACTCACTGTACTTTGCTTTTGATTGAAGCCCTCTCACTGTCCGCCTGTAACAATGTGAATTTATTTATCACAGAGATGGAACAGGGCAAACACCTCTCTCGTTTCTTTGTTACATCGCAAAGTCTTAATGCACTGAGCACATGTTATGTTTATTTTCTATCCCCTCTTTTTGTACTTTTTTGCGCATTTTGAAAGAAAAGAAGAAAAAAAAAACCCTGCTGAAGGAAGAGTTTTATCTTGTGAAATATAAGAATGAAGAGGAGTTTTTAACCTATCATGTCGAACTGTGTGACTCACTTTTTACGAGCGTGCTTTATGCACATGCCTTTTTGGAAGGAATTTAAAAAAAAAAGTACATGAAATATGTTTGAACATACAATCAGTCATACATTGTATCCTATGTTACACCTCTGATGTTTGATCATATTTAAGGACTTGTCATGTACAGAAGCAGAGGATGATGATATGTAAATATATGATAGTGTAAGGCATTTACAAGTTGTCTGTCGCATTCCTCATCTGAGATGGCCAGAAAAGAAATGTATGTATGCAATTATGTGTGTGAGGATCACAAAGGGTATTGAATGTAACATGCATCAATTAAAACTATTATTGACATTTTAATTTCTCCCATTCCTAATACTTGATTTTTGTTCACAGGGTGTTTAAAAGGAACAAAAAAAAGTTTTTCTTAACAATAATAGTCATTTCATTTCTTTTATTTTATTCATCAGGGGACGGTGTGTGCACTGACATTGATCATTTATACATGGAAAAAGGTGGTTGCATCAGATTAAGCAAGTCGCTCATTTCCATCTGTAGTCATCACAGAAAAGTGACGCAAGACAAACTATTAAACTCCACTCAACAAAGGACGATGAAGAGACACACCTGGCAACATAAAGTACATAAACTACATAATAAAAAAAACTATTAACACTGTCTGTGGAACAATGTAGCCTATATCCTGCTCAGTACAAAGTATAAAAATGAAATTGTGTAAAATATACAAAATTATTGATTGCATGTATGAAGGCCTTACACGATCAATAACAGGAGGACACAGCATGATATAAGGGACACTATAATACACAATAACTACATCATTAAGTGACCAAAATACTAATTCATGTCAAAGAACTTTATTATTCCCTCTTGGGGTAGTTGGTGTGGAGCAGCCCGAACACATGACAAAAAACACAAAGAGGTGTTTGACAAGTTGATGTACAAACAACAGAATACACAATATCTGTTGTATATTATGTATAATGTTAGACTGATTAGAGGTCAGCTAGACTGAATACAAAATAAAGACATTAGAATGATAAGTCAAATAAAAGAAGAAAAGATCTGCAGGATCCTTATTCACTAATAAAAACCTGAAGTACACACATCATCACAGTATATGAGGGACGCAGTTACATTTAAAAGTAACCAGGATCCTTGTAGGCCTACAGGTTCTTTACTTTATAAAAATCACAAGTATACACTGCAGACATAGAAAATGTTAAGTAAAACATGCAATAACTGTATTTAAAGTGGCCAAAAGAAGCAACTTGATTAAGTTAAAAATATATTTGAGTCAGCCTATGAATGCAGACGTTTCAGTTATTCTGCAATGATTTGTTTTTAAACCACAGACAACATGAAAGTGGCCTGTGGCATTAACGGTGGTCTGATGAACTCAGTGAAACAAGCTGGATATTACTTGGTAAGAAACACACACTCATCCGGGGTGAGCCCATAGACGGGTGAGACCTGTGAAAGTAGGTGTGCCTCCAATGCCCCAAGGCTGTGATGAAGAATGAGCAGTGTGTGACTAAAAATGCATGTAGATAGAAATAACGAGACTTACAGTGATGTTAATGAGAACTGTCTCATATCACAAGTGCTCGTCCCAGACTGGTTCACATTAATCATAAATGTAAACCGTTAGAGGACCGATGAATCTGAAAATAATAGCTGCACTTCATGTAGCCACCAGGGGGCGCCGCCTTCATATTAAATTTACAAGCTGGCTCTCCAGTGACAACAAATTACAATATTAAGATTATAACTAGGTGTAGATACATATCAATGCTTTACATGGTTACATGCATTTACTTGACTCTCTATTACAGTCCTTTAAAAAAATATTTGAAATGTTTTTATAAAACCAGCAACTCATTTGCTAATTTCTGACCTTTAATTTGTTTTGATTACTAACATGTAGCATAATTTGCGATTAGTTTATCAGGAACAATGCACATAAAAGATAAGGAATGCTATCATCCACATTTATTTGTCTATATTAAATGAACAAACTAACAAAATAAATATGCTTATCAAATAGAGGTAGAATTAGAAAAATGAAGTCACAAAAAATTAAAAAAAAAGCAGCCCTTTAAAACTCATTCCCTAGTCAAACAAAAGCTTTTTTTAATAGCCATGTTTGCATTCTTTAGTTTATGTCATAGGCTATGGATAGACCTATTTATGTATTCATGTATATCAAAAAAAAGTAAAATAATTTGGACAAATAGTTTTATAAATACCTTTACCGATCATTAATAAAAGGTAATTTATTGCTATTTTTTATTGATGCAAAGTTTGCATGCTGTGCTGGTGCTAGGAACAGTCAAGACATTTACAATATACTGACTGTGGGACTCACTCAAAATACATGACTAAATATAATAACATGGGTTTATATTGTATACTTTATAGCTTGTTTCATTTGGCGACAAAATCACTTTTAATAACTTCTTGTTTTGTTGTTCTGTTTAATCTCCTGCAGAATCCCACATTCATTAATATAAACTTTAGGGTCTTAACATTAATGCAGGTTAATCCAGATGTGTTTGTGCAAGTGTTTGTTTTTGTGTTCGGTACTCAGATCAGGAGGGAGCTGTGGCTCCTGTGTGTGTCTGGATCTGGGTCCCTCCTCCTCCTCCTCTCTCTCTTTCTCTCTCTCTCTCTCTCTCCGTCCTCTCTGAACTGATCTACTGTTGCCTTCAATGCCTGCTCTCTCAGCTGGTGTAGCGACCACACACTCCGGCTCTCCGCTTGTGTTTGTTTGCGACTTTTACTGAACTTTATTTCCAGTGTTTGTGGTGCTCTGTGCATCACTTAATCTGCGTGCGGATTTTGGAAAACTTGCTGCTGCAAAATGGACTGAAGGAGCAGAAGCAGCAGCACAGCCAGAGTGTGGATACTCCAGAAAAGAAGAGTTTTATTTGTAAAGAGAGCGACCCTTTTCTGCGCGTTGAATTAACCATCATGGAAGAGGACGACGGGCATCTGGAGAACGGTATCCACGCCACCAAGGACTCGGACCGGCAACAGCGGCTCAGACTTTGTGTTTTGAATGAAATGCTGAACACAGAGAGGGATTATGTTCGGACGTTGCTTTTCCTTCAGTCGGTAAGTTTTTGACATTTACCTCTCACGTTGTTTGTGTCCACGTTCAGCTCCCTCAGACACGGACAAGGACAGCCCGCCGAACTCCATTTAAACATCTTCCAAGTCAGGGTTGTCTTCACTTTTTAGGCTAAACGACACACTTTATAAGACGACATGTAGTGTTTAATGAATTGGCAGGGTACAAAGCTGACTTCTGTGTGCAGGGAGTAAATTAAGCTGCAAAAAATAGCAAGAAAATACCAAAGTTAATGTGTTGTCCACAGTGTAGTGGACGGGCTTGGTACGACATTAAATAGGAAGAAATTTGCATTGGCTCTGGTTTGACGTTTGGTACTCACGAGTAGTTTATCTGATAGTAGTTTAATTTTTAAATCCCTTTGTGTTGTGATACACAACAGGCTGCGGAAGTGAGCTGTGGGTTCACAGCTTCTGTTTGTTGCACAATGTGTCTTTCTTCACATACATACATTGACAGCTTTCTCCTGAGAGCACAGCCTGTTATTTTGTCATGTTATGTGTCCAGCTTTGAGCAATTTAGACCCCACTTTATCAATGGAATTATGACATGTATGTGAGAGACATAAGACCTTGTGTAAATGTGTTCAAATTGAAGCCCGGGGCATCTTTCACACCTCTCCCTTGTGTGCTAAAGCTCAGGTTCAAAACAATCAAAGGAGAGCTCTATTCACACTGGCTTTGCAAATAATTAGGTAGCCTATTCATGAGCATTCAACACCACCACGCCTCCCTTTTTTCCACACTGAGATAAGAAGCACTTTCAGCACAGTTAGCCTACTTATTCACTCATTGTTGGCCGCATCAGCTGCCTTTGATGAATGATTGTCCTGGTGATTTTTCATGCTACTTTCAGCCAGACATAGATGGCTCCCACCTGCAGCCAGGAGACTATTCAATTTGTCACATCTTTGTGTCATTTTCACGTCCCTCTGTCTCCTCCCTTTATCCTTGCCTTGTCATCTGTTGGACTTGAACTGTGCAGGTGGTGTCTGCCTCCAGCTGAGACGAATACAACTGTGGGACTTACTCCAAATTGACTGCATTTAATATGACAGCAATAATGGGACTATATTATAATGCTTTATTGCTTGTAGTAGGGGTAAGCCCCCCCTTTTTGTCTCCCCACCTCCACAACAAGGTCAAAGGTCAGTGTAAGCTACAAAACACAACCCCTGAAGCTGGTGGGGATTTCAGGGTATCTTTTACCCGCTCTGTCCCCCCTGCTGGCTCAAAAGATTGACAAGGCAACGACTGAATATTATCTGCTGGTAAAATTGTCCGATTTCAATCGCTGGAAAGTATTTGTCAAACGTGGTCATGGTTCCTTCTTCCTCTCGTGCTGTCATGTGTCGAAGAACTTCCTCAAAGTTTCCTCAATGTCACAAAGATACTATATCATCTGGAAGTGGTAACTACATCACAACGTTTTGAGATATGTATGCAGCTGAACTTTTCACTAGTTTACTGAACACATTCAGAAAAAGACAACACACTGGATTGTCTATCTCTTTGATTTCCTTTTAAAAAATGACGCGAGGGCTGAGAGGCAGCCAATTCTTATCTTCTGCAACGAGACAGACCAGGCAGCAGAGCGAGACATGCTTTGACCTACTCCCCCCCATCTCAAAAAGTCAGTTCAGACGTATTGATAAAGACAAAGCCCCACTCTTTTATCATTGAAGCCTGGAAGCTTTTTTTCCCCCTGTGAACATCTGAAAGCTGTCAGTGCTGGTGTCCTCCACCATGCTCCTCCCCGACATTACATCAATTGGCATGTCTTGATTTAAGCCATACGGTGATAGCCAGAGGGGAGTGACTCGCTCCGGCCGGAGGGGAATGTTATCAATGTGTCTTTGTATAGCATTTCCAATTATAAAGCAAAGGCTGTAGTTTAAAAAGGAGTGGAGATTAAGCCATTATTTCCTGCTTTTATGATCCTGTGTTGGAATTTTTGTCTCTATTTGATATCAGCTACCGGTGTTTTTCTAATTCAACAGTGTCACGTGCAGCTTGATATCGAGGTCTGTGTAAATGTAAGGTCTGTTTCTCATTTTTTTATCATCTTGGTAAAATGATTTTTTCACACATTTCAGATAGTGTTGGCAGTCAATGTGGTCACCTAAAGTAATCAAGACATAAAACAATGTCGTCATACATGTACCAGGATGCATTGCATGCTACTGCCGTGCTCAGCGGCTCTTCTTCAGAAAAAAATCTTTGGTTGGATTTAGATGGTTTGATGTCCAACTAGTTAGCCAACTCTCTAAATTTGTGTTTGTTCAAACATCCTCTGCAGCCGCGATGCTTTTTTTTGCATACCAAGAAACGTAGCTTTGAAGCTTGTTTGCAATGTTTGCAAAAATGGGAGTTTAGAAATCCAAACAATAATGCAATGAAGTTGTCCAAGGGCCATTAAATGTGTCAATTGGTGGCACTGGTGACCAGAGGAAAAGCTGTTATTTTTAAATGGCAGCATCCCTGAGATACAGAGAACATCTGCAGCAATTGTAGAGTTCCTCAGACCATATCTCTAAACAAAGGCTGTCACCATACCATGTTTTTAAACTTAGATATGATGCTAGAAAAAATGATGATGCCATGGCTGTTTGGATACCATGGCAACAACAATACAAGTACTGGTGGGCACCAATAACTGGGAAGTTTCTTGTTTTTATTTACACGAGCACACTGTCTGTGCTGAAACATTGCTGACGTATTTGTACAGTTTCGACGGGGCTCTTTCTTTCCCTTGCAGCAACTTTTGGTTCAGATATGACTGATGATGTGAAGTTTTTTTCAAGCTTGACTACTTTTTGATACGGTACTATACATCAATAAAATAACAGATTGTTTTATTTTAAAACACATGGTATCAGAGTGTAGAAACATTTTGACAGCCTTTGATTCAAACTCACATTTATACATTAAGAAAAGCAGAAAGTGACAGCAGAAAAAGCAGAAACAGAAGTGTTTCTGTTGGATGGGATGGATGCATTTCATTAACCTCATTACGAGCCATCCTCACATATGTTCTCATACTGTGTAGACAAGCTCTGATGCCAAAGCATGCTGCTCTATACTCTAGTTCCCCATATGTGGTAATATATGTTTTCTTGTCATGTGACTCCCTTCCAAGGCCCCAGAGACAATCACTACAGAGGATTTAGTGTTTTGGGGGCGCTCCGCTCAGTATAGCTTTCATTGCTAAAGGACCATGCTGAAAGTAAAAAAGAAAACATCAGTCCAACAACCAGCGCCGATCCTCTACAAATCCCTCCCAAGCTCTCCATCCAGGGTCCAGCTGAGCCTGCTCCTCATCCCCTCTGTGGGAGCCGAGGCTGTGTCCCCCCATGCAGCTCACGCTGGTGTTGATAAGGGAAGTCTGGCTGTGGGAGCTCAAAACATATGGTTTCTGTAAAGATACGGACGGAGTCGTTCCGGGTGGGGGGTTAATTGTTTTGGGTTTGCGTAGCCCTTCAGATGGAAGAGGCCAAAGTAGCGATGGGGAATGAAAAGTGAGTTGTTATGGAGAAGAATCGGAGCAGTTATTTTTGTTTCAGAGAGCAATGTTCGTCATTGATCTGGCATATCGCTAAGTGAGATACTTTCCATTTCTCTGAATGCTATCTAACATCTCTCTCAGAATTGTTAGTATATTTACACATCTTCTGTGAGTTAGATATGCAAATTAGTAATAGTGATAGCTTGACAGTGAGAGGTATTTCCCCTTCTAGTGAAAGTGAACTGCACCTATGTAACTGAAAACAGGACATGGCTTGTGGTCACAATCTGGTTCCTTGTTTGCTGGAAATCAGTGCAGATAATGACGCATTGACTCCATTGAGGCCTATACCAGTCATGGAAATTCAAAACATTTAAAGGCGGCCAATTCTTGCCATCACGTGTCTAAAATTAAGCTATTTACAAAATTGCTTCAAAATAAAAATGTAATAAATGAGCTGTTTATCATGTTAAAATGATATAACGTACAACTCTGCAACAGTAACTGCATTATGTTGGTGGGAACATTAACCCTTCGAGCACTGTTCTTAACGACCTTTGCCCCTTTTCTCCTCCAGTTTTACGACTATGACTGATGCATGACATACTGTTGATAATTAGCTCAATAAACCATTTTCTGCTGTCAGTTCAGTTGCAGCCACGCTCGAGAAAAATCCAGATGATGTCAATGTCTCAATGTTTAAGTCCAGATCTTAGCATTACATGCTATTGATTTACTTATGTTGACCCTACAGCTTCTGTCTTATCTGTCCACAACTGATGGTTTAGTTTTAGCTCAGTCTCTTTGGGGTTTAAGCCTCATGTCAGTGGTAGAAATTAAACAGCCACCAATGAAAGGAAGCTCACCGATGACCGCCCACGTCAATCTCGATCGCCTTATCACTGATTTATTTTCACCCTCCCTTTGTAGTCGTCCTCCACCTGATAGATCTTTAGCCCCCCGTGCGGCATCGTTCCTCAATTGCAATGATTGCAATGACACACAAAAGAGATGCTTATCCAGCTTTGGCATCTCAGTCATTCTGCATGTCACTCATCCCCTGGCAATTACCAGCGCCAACAAGCTCACCCAACACGCTAGAGAGGAAGCATGTAGGGGTGTTGGGTGGAGAAGAGGTGAGAAGGGGGTAGGGGGTAGGGGGACATGTGAAAGGAGGGATTAGAGGACTGGGTTTGCTCTGTGTTGTCATTGCAAATCTCCAAATCTGTTTCTTCTTCAAGACCAAGTGGAAGCTGGCTCCTTTCCTTTTCAAATCACAGTCAGTGGTGATAACTGCTCTCTTCCTGCTTCTGTTGGGGGAAAAAAAATCCCTGGTTTGTGTGAATTGATAATTTCTTAAAGCCATAGATTAGTGGGGATTTTCTTCAGGGCTGTGCTTTGTTGATTTAATCCAAGCAACTGGATTTTCCCCGCCGTGATCCACCAAAATGTAGGCTATCTATGTCAGGACCAGGGGCAT